TATCTATCTATCTATCTATCTATCTATCTATCTATCTATCTATCTATATATATATTTATAGGTAGTGATGTGCTTAGCCTCGCCCCACAGCCTTGTAGGGGATGTTGTCTGTGGTGGATTTATAGGCCACCTGGGGAAGCAGCACGCAGTAAGCCTGGTCACTAATTAAAACACGGCAGCATGCAATTACTCTACAAATTAACGCTTTCCACGGCCAATTACGAGGAAGGGAAGCTTGTCAATACCTCTTTGCAACAGTCCTTTATTAATGGGACCTCCCAATCCCTTTGACTGGCCCAGAAGTAAAGAATGAGAAAACAACTGGTATAAACTGGACACTCTAGTCAATCTAAAAGTAAAGTATAATTTCAGCAATGGAATATTCCTTATCTTTTTTTTATATCTATAGTTAATTTAAGATGTACATGATTGTAAGATGAAATTATAATTAAAATGCCTTTTAACAGGTTCTAAAATACCATGACTCACACTAGTAAACATTATTTACACATGATGAAGACGGAACACCACCCCACTCCTGCAGTTGTAACATAAATTACAGGGTTTCATTCTTTTGTTCAGTTTGCTTTAAAGCTGGTTGGTAACAAACTGATGAACCAACTGTCAACAGCAGTAGTTGAACAGTGTTTGTCCCTGGCTGAGTGTGCACTGAAAGTGCTAAAAGGTTGCTGCCCAACAACACGTAAAAGGCAGGAAAATAGGAAGAGAAATTCATACACAGAGCAGTAGCCTGCAGTGGATAACACCACCACACTCTTTGCACTGAGCTGTAACACATAATTAGAAGGATTTGTTCCGGATGAGCTGTTTTATTCAGGAATATTTAGTTTTGTAACCTTTTATGATGAAAGGTTTTAAAACCCAGCCCAGGTGATTTTGCTTATCTTGCCTCATTTAAGCACTCCACAGGATGAGGACATGTTTAGCCAGCACTAGGCTGACATTAGTTAAAATGAATATGAGGTCAGAAAAAGTCAAGACAAAGACAGGCTCTCCATGGCTGCAGCCTCTGATCAGCAGATCTGCCATAAAAAAAAAAAACTCATCTGAATTTCATGAGTCTGCAGGGGGGCCAGTGGAAAAACATCTCTGTGTGCAGCAATTATAGCAGATTGATAGACCAAGAAACAAAGAGAGAGACACATAAATATAAACAGACTCAGGGACATAACAATGGTTCCTGGCACCTCCTAAAAAATAAATAAAAGAAAGAAAGCCAAGCCGTGAGCTGGATAACCCCATCTTAAGCTTGTTGACCTTTCCTGAACACTCATCACTCCCACTTTCCTCCGTCTCCATCACCTTGGAAAGCAGCTAAGCAGTGAGGGAGGTCCAAGTTGCTGGTGGCCATGGCCATGACGCAGCACAATTTGTCACAGCCAAACGGCTTTACTGGCTACAAAGTGAGTGAGTAATCAAGGGTAAGGGCAAGGGGAAACTGTGCTCCGTTACACAAGGGATGATATAGTCTAATAAGTATGTGCTGTATGGCCTCAAGAATTTGCTAAAAGTTAACCATGACCCAACCATCCAACCTTCTTTAAGTGGTTTTATCTTTAGTGAATAATTAGCATAAAATGAAACATGATATCTGCTTAATCTGATTCTGGATTTGTTTTACATATCCTGTTAGGGCAAAAGCAAAATCCTGCGCTTTATGTTTTTGTTAGAGCAATAAAAGAAATAAACAATGACGTGTTTCTAAATGCTACAGTAATGAAACACCATCAAATTTGACCAACATTTCTTCAAAATGAACATAAGTTATTTACTAGCTCTATGGGAACAAATTTGAATTTGAAGTAATGTTCTCTGCATAGCTTGTTAAATATACAAAATATGCATGGTTAATTGGTTGTCGGCTCAATTCAAAATTGTTTGAGGTTTTTTTTTCATATTGTCTCCCCTCCCTGACTTATAATTACAAAAAACATGGCACTGGTTGCAAGAATACAGATTTAAAACTGCAGGCAAGATAGACCTTTTGCTGCTGAATAATTCAGAGTAGTGCAACAAGATAATGATTTGTCTTCAAACTGAGAACCACAGCACATCAAAATGTCATATATCCCCTGCTGATCTTAATGTAGCTTGCATGAAAATGTAAGATATTAAGAAAAAATATTCTTCAACATCTGAAGAGAATTTGTTCATTATTCAGTAGTAGTAGAAGCACTAAGTGTTAGAAAGATAACTGTGGAGTTTTTTTCTTTTCAATCTAACACAATATAAGGGAATTGTACAGAATTTGACATATTGCAGATTTTTACTTCTGCTTTGAAGGAAAAGATATAACTCAAGAAAAACTCCAATTACAGTAACACTTTCGTTATGAGCTTCACACTGCACAAGGCATGAAAGTCGAAAAGGAAAAGGTCTTCTCTTTCTATTGTCGTCTTTGAAGCTTCAGCTGAGCGACATAAAAACTGAGATATATAAAAGAGGAATGAAACAAAGATTCTGATGCAGTTTGATTTACTAAACTTAGAGGTCAGAAAAAATCACAGTTAAAGGGGTTTCTGTGTGGTGTTTGTGTGTTCTCCCTCTGTATGAATGTGTTCCTTCCTCCCACCTTGTAAAAACATGCATGTTAGGTTAATTACTGACACCAAATTGACCGCAAGAGTGAGAGCATATGGTTGTTTTTCTCGTTTGTCTCTATGTGGCCCTGGGATGGACCGGCAATCTGTCCTGACAGCTGGTATAGGTTTTCCAATTTCAATACGTGGGAACTTCTTTCATCAAAGAAGAAAAAAATCACAACTATTCTTCCACAAAAGTAACAGAAAATGTGCGATCACATATTTTAGAGCTGTGCAAACATGTATCACGCTCCTCAATGCGCCTTTATCCTTCATACATATTTTCCATACAAAAACACTGTTCTGTTTTTGAAAACCGTCCTGGTGCCTGCAGTATTCCTTCAGTTTTCTCTTGAAGAATTGGAATTGCTGACATCCTTCTTTAAGGGATTGGTTGGTATTATTGATGGCTTCTTTGTTTAATAGTAATAGTTTTAGTTCCATTTTTGCTTTTGAATATTTGGTTAATCCAACCGCACTACCTGTATTTTGGTCATTGTGTTACTGCTTGTACTGTGTTAATCAATTTTGGCTGGTTTGATTCCTAAGTGTTTGCTTCTGTAGATCTGGCACACCATATGCTCTTTGGCCAGTGTCCAGTGTCAGGACCCAGCAGACGTGTGATGTAGGGACACTCAGACTAAGAGGCAATCAATGAAGACAGTGCTGGCCAAGCAGTGGAGAGGAAAACCTTGCTCAGATTTCTCCATAGCAGCTAAAGATTAACATCAGTGTTTATTATTGTGCACTTTCTCAATAAAATAAGCTAATTTATTTGTGTGCAATCGTAGTAAATATTTCCCCAGTTGTAAATATGAACAACCTGGGATTGAAAGATTATCCACATATGCTGAGTTTATTGATAATGAGGCTAACTGTATTCAAAGCACAATTTGATCTTCCATGCAGTAGAGGCTGAATCACGCTATCTCCAGTAGAGATGGAGAGAGTCTGTCTTTGTCATCCTGACTCAACCATCTGTGCAGGGGCTGCTGCAGAACAGCTCTGAGCTCAGCCAGCCAATAATGACAGAAAGAAATGTGTAAAGAGGGTGGGACTATGTGAAAAAGGGAGTCTGGCACAGCGAATGAGAGCAGAGGAGTTGTGTCCCTGGCTCAGAATGTCCTTGTGTGAGCTCCGAAAGCTCGGAGAGGCAGAGAGGATAGAGGGAAGCGAGAACAGAGACGCTAGCGGGTGCTGAGCATAGGTCTAGTCTGCAGTGAGACTGAGTGTGCCAGAAGACAAGGCGATAAAAGAAAAGTGGTCTGTTAGACTGAATTAAAAAAGAGACAGGAGTTTGATAGGGACTAATATCATCAGCTTGTTTTTGTTTTGGATAAAACTGGATAAAATTTTTCTAGACACCTTGCTTCCATTTTGTTTGGATAGTCTTTTCTTCTTCATCACCTTTATCATCTTCTCACCTTCCTCCTCTCTGAAAGTCAGTGTCATCATGGAAACTGGAAGCCCGAGGAAGATACAGTTCACCGTCCCCTTACTGGACACCCACCTGGACCCAGAGGCAGCTGAACAAGTAAGAAGGAAGGGGGCAGGGCGGAAGGGGGAGGTAGGGAAAGGAGGATGGGTAATTATAGACCTTGAAGCTTTTAGGATTTCGTTTTTATGCATGAGTGCAACTGGCAGAGAAAAAAAGGGATATGCACCTTGAAAAAATATATATATCGATGTGAAATACTTGAGAAAAATGTGTTTATGCTTGAGCCAGTTTGTAAAAAATTGGCAAAAAAGAATCCAGTTATCATAGCAAACAAGTGCATGTCACAGCTGAGTAAGTCACCGTGCTGCTCATCAGATGCTGTGGTAGGCTTCCAAAAGAGCCACAGTCTCAGAGTGATATTCCCCCAGAAGTAGATCTACTTTGAATATAGAACTGTCGTGAGCATGATGAATTCACAAGCTATTTTTCTATCAGCACTCACAGTGTGTCAGAATTTAGACACCCAGGATCCAGAGGATTTCTAAACGGATGCTGCTCATCATTTGTCTGTCTCTAGGGGTTCTGTTACTGCTGGCTTTTTATTTCAGTTACTGATTTAACATATCCAATAACTGCTGGGTATTGACAAAGTCTGTGTTAATCATTTCAAAGGAATGTCAACAGCACAACCGTTTTTGCTGATTTAAATACAAATCAAATTACAAAACTTTTATTTGTGGGAAATTGTCACCACAAAATGTGTAGAGATGTCAGGATTTTTTTTAAATTCAGCATCACTTCATTACATAATAATGAACTGTTGGTCATTGAAAAAGCCTAACGCATGCAGTTCGTGTGCCTGTGGAATACTGCAAGAAGCATGACCCATTTTTGTCATTTTTATAAATTTAACATGAACAGGACAGGACATTCATAATGAATAAACCCTAAGCACAGCCAGCAAGGATTAAGAATAATACCTACACTCAGTCTTATTGAGTCTTTTCCTTTCTTTTTATGTTGTTCACCATTTCCTCACCTTGACTGAGACATGACATTCTGTCTGAATGTGGATATACTGTGGGAATGGGACTGACTTACCTTAATATAGATTTACTGATTAGATTGGATTTTGATATGGTTGAAAACCATAGCAATGAGGCTGCTTTGGTGCGTTTGTACATCTCTGAAATTTAAGAGTTAGGCTGACATATTTGCTTATTGAAGCTGTTTTAATCAATTTGCATGACTCATCAAGGGGAAAATAAAACATTTGGACCTCTGAAGAAAAGGTTTTCAGAAAGAAGTGCTTCGATCTAGAATTGAGCTCATATATTTTACTGTTGCTTGTGCTTTTAATGAACATTATCATAAATATGACATTTTTACTCTGAATTTTACACAAAATGTAATCAATTAAGATCCTTCAGTCTTAAATGTACATTTTAAATAAGTTATGTCAACAACATTAAAAATAAAAAGTTTAGATTTCTGAAGTTTTTGTAGATCTGTGTACATTTTCCATCCAAAATGTATTTTAATCAAGCATATTTGGAGCGACCTTCAAGCAATGGTCAGCCTCAAATGATATTTTCAGAAATAATGTTTCTCAGGAGTTGTTGTGTTTGGTTAACATCTCCCCATCATTCACTAAGCAAGTTTTCCTAACAATCAAATGCAAAAATAAATATGTTAAATTGTTTTAGTTTCAGTTTTCAGTTTCTATCACAAAGTAAAGTAAAGTAAAGTAAAGAGTGGCATAAAACGACGATACAAAAGAAGAAAAAAACACTCAAATATAGATGACTCGTACAACAACTGTTTGGATGGACTTTGTTACACTGAGCCACTTAATACTTCTGTTCTTTTCACTGGAAAAATCGAAATAGTCATCAGTGCAGCCAAAATCGCATAATTAAGTACAATTTTATGTGTTATAGCACTGAACATATCTACACGTTTTTCACATGTGATGATCAACAGAGATTACAAGCTAGGGTAATGTGGATATCTTTCATTATATTTGAAGATTCAGAGCTTTGTGGAGTTCCATGTCTTCCCCCTCCTCTTTCAAAAAGAGGTTGGAAACTGGGGCAGCTCCTGTTCACTGCTTCTTGATTTTGATACATTTTTCATTTTTGCGTTAGGTGTTGGAGACCTTTCTGTGTTGTGCTCTTTTACTTTCAGCAGAATGCATGGCGTTATCTCTCAACATGTCAGAAGTTTAAAATTATTATATGTTTTAAGAAAACTTTCCTAAAGTGACATTGGGAACAAAGATGTGAAAATACATACATTCAGACAACAAATACACATTTATACTGAGACAAAGAACTTTGCACTGCCTACCCACTGCCAGGTGCCTTCACCTTTATTAAGCATTAACACTAAAAGACCATTTTGGACAGTTCAACACAGAGGCAGCTCAAATGCAGCAACATGGCTGCTTTTGAGATGAAGCAAGTGCAGTGTGCTTGCCAAAAACGTTAGTGATTGCAGAAAACAAGAAACCGTAAATGTAGGCCATGAAATCAGTTGTGCCAATTAGTCATACCTGGAATCCTGTCTGAATCCTTAGTGAGGTTGTGTTGGGGTTGCTTCTACATTCATGGCATGGTGGTACAAAAAATAGTGATCCAAATTCATCACCATGGTCTGCCAGAAATCTCACATTTCCAAAAATTATAAATAAAAGAGATGGTTTAACTCCTCCCTTCCTTTTCACTGGAATATGTTCATCAAGTTGGTCCTTGTATATAATCAAATGGATTCTTATTGACAGTTGTTTTAATACATACAAATTGTTTTACTCAAGACTAACATCAACTGTTTTAGGAATTCTGACTGACTTCTTGATTGGGTTGGGACACACTTAAAAAAACATTGGTCAGAGCTAAGATACATTATTTTAACAACACTTTGGTTAAAAGAAATTTGTGAATGTGATAATACAACCACTGGAAGAAAGAAATCATTTCAGTGTTTTGGCTATTATCATTATATTGGGATGTAAATGGGAGGGCTGTTTATCTTTAAACTTCAAATTTGCTTCAAATGTGCTTTTTTTCTTTTGAGCACTGCTCTGAAACAATATTAGTGTCTGTCTTGGCACCCAATAACGTTTTGAGAGGATTTCCAATTCCCCGTACATTCCTGTACTTCTTTATCTCCCACTCTGTGTACGAAATTGTATATCAGAGAGATTATTCGCTTTGCGCAGATGACCTTGTGCCGTCCTCTCGGGGTCTGAAAGCTGATACACTTTATTGTTTTCAGACACATGTTTGATTCCAGGCTGTATGCTATTACGAGTTCCTACTTACACATCCAGCCTCATACCCATCTATAGGCTGAATTCTAATAGCATCCAACAAAAAGAGACCCACACAGGTTCTTTGCCCAAAGTCTCAGTAAACAATACTATAGGTTGTGAGATTGCCACGGGGGCATTGCCTTTTTACAATAGGAATCACAATGCGTGGCTGCTTAGCCTGTATACCAAACTGCTTTTCAATTAGTTATAGAAATTGTCTGTGTTCGCGAGACTGCTATTGCAGCAGGCGGATGTAAAGAGAAACAATGGAAATAGGATTTTTTTTTTTCATGTCAAAAGAAAATTCATGTTAATGAGCATCACATCAGGGAGCATCACCCACGGTTCAGTAATCCCTGCACCCTGACACTTTCCAGTGTTTTGAGCCTCCATGAAGAACTGCATGTCAGTCAGAACAGCCTCCTTTGCTCTTAATTGCAGCAAAAACCCTTCTCCAAACAAAAGTCTATGTGCCACAACCTTACATAAAAGCTGTTGTAGTTGAGAGCAAAATGTTGCTCTACCAGTTTGTACAGGCCAAGATCAGGTGGCGTCCAAACAGATAATCGAATAGATAACTAGTAAGGGTCTAACAATTAAAACAAATCTAAATGACCAACTTTAAACCCTGGATTTTGTGAGTTTTATTAATTTGCCATCCATTTCAAAAACACCAAATAGAGTTTCAGAGAGAGATCATCATCGTGTACACAATAAATCCAAATAGACTGTGTAAAGTCATGACACCACAGGCAGTTTCACTTAATGGGAAGTTAGTAGAGAGAATGGTAATGTGTAACCCATCTGATGCACTGGTAAAACCTTTAAGACGTAATGCCTTACACATTTTCAGCTTGGAAAGGATCTGAGCTGTATTTTCATCTACAATTGAGTCTACATACAATCTGAAGTTTACCCTTATCTGAACCAGCCTGTTGTTTATTTTGTGACGAGCGTCCATAGAGGAATGAAGTTTAGCGAACAGTCAATTTTCAGCTCCTGCATCATGCTTGTCATTCCCTCATACCGTAGACTTCTCTTAGATTTTCAGTGAATCAATTTTAGAAAGCTGCTACTTTGTCTGTTACAGGCTTTATGAAAGAGTCAATAAATGGTAATAGGACCTGTGGAGGGGAAAAATCAAAGTAGTGAAATACTGAGAAGGGGACTGAGGAGAGCAAGACCCAATATAAAAGAAAGTAGAAGTCAGTTATGGGAATTTTCAAAGCCTTGTTATTACACCAACTCCATAGTTCACAGCTTAATGAGGCCACAGATAGAGAGCATGTAAGTATTCATCATGGCTCAGCCTTCGCCTGTCCAATATCTGGATCATGACAGAATGAAAGATGTAGAAACACATTAATCTTCCCGAACTGATACAGTTTCTAAGTTGTAATTGAGTTCTGGCTCCTTGGCTCATTGTATAAAAAAAAACTTTAGAGAGGTTTTCTGCTATCTTCAGGGAGCAGACTACTTCTTATACTTAGGTGTAAAACTTCCACACCATTCGATCATCTCAAATATGTAATAGACCACAGATGGGGTTAATAGATGGGCTTAAAACCTTTAGCGCTGCCAAACTGCATTTAGTAATCAGTTGTTGGTATTAGAATGTAGTAGTTTGGTATTAAAAGGTGCCAGATTTAAGTCTTTTTCAAACAATAAAACATGATTCATAGCGCTATCTCATATCTCTTCTAACTTTGGTAGATCTGCTGCACTGAGACTTTGAATTACACAGGGGGCACTAACCTATAAACAAAACACAAGATAGGGCTGCATTCTAAACCTAGATGAGAAAGTATTAATCGACTTTACAAGTACTACATCATGTGTTACAATAAATTCTACACCTAATGATCTTCTCTGGGACATGAAAACAACATGTTTTAATGCCTGGATTAGAACCAGGTTATTTATATTTATCTTACATCCACAATAATAGATGAAACACTTTTCACTCATTTTCATATTTTGAATTCAGTTATTGAAAGCCCATAATTTCGAACATTACCAGAGAACAAACAACAACAAAAAAACATAAAACCATAAAACAAAAGATGGATCAATATTCCCATTGAGGGGTTTTACAGTAAAAATTGCATTTCTTTTTTTTTTAAGGAAAGCTTAATCAGTTTGTGACAGAGGCTCTGTCACTTGAACTGACTTGTCTTGTAGGCTGAGTTATATTTCCAAGCAAAGGGCATTTTGTCCCACACAGCCAGAATTCCAGGCATGACTGCCTTTTCATGCCCACCCTTCACTTTTGAAAGCCGTGTCTGTTTGCTGTTGTGTGAAATCGAAGAGATGCATTCTAAACAGACGGTAGTTTGGGAGGGAGGAATTGTGCTTTGAAGGGTGAGCCCATCCAACTAAGTTCTGGTATTTGTGTGAGCAGAGGATCAAGGGAGTTCACTCTGTCGCCGAGTGAGAGGAATTACAATGACTCTGGATAAAATCAGTTCTACACATTCATGGTGAAGTGGATTCTCTGGTGTGCAACAAAATACACACATTTAGTTTCATGAGACTACTTGGTATCATTATAAGGAAGCTTTCAAAGCTTCCATTTTAAGTTAACTGCTAATACAATGGAACTTAAGCAACTTAAATGAATTGAATTGAACTTAAGCATGCAAAGCCACATCAAAACATCACAGAAACTCAAAAGTCTGAGCACAGAAAAAGCAGAATGATCCAAAAGTATCTGCAACTACGACATTAAAATGAATAGCTGACAATTTCACGATTGTAGACGAGTAATATTCTCTGAGGTGTTCACACCAGTCACAGTGCTGCCTGTCTCTTAAAAGAAAACAAATTAAATTGACCTGACATTGCCACTATATTTTTTTTAGTAGTGTGTGCATGAGTCAGTGTGTGTCTGTGCTCTGGGTGTCTGATTTGAGGTTAAGCATTAGACATCTGAAGAAACCAGATTGATAAAGGTAAAAGAAACACTACTTGCTTCTTATGAGTTCCTTGTGCATTTTACATCAATCAGATCAAAGCCTTGAAGTCAAATTGGTAGTTTTTTTCAGCAATATAAAGTTTAAATTCTAACCAAACATAATTGTTGAATACCATGTGAGGCTGCACTGTTTGGGCTGAGGCTGCACTTGCTTTCCAAGTGCACAAGCAGCACTTTGACTAGATTCAGCATTTCAGCGTCGCTCAGCGATTCTGTCAGCTACAGAACAATTGTTTCTGCTTGTGCGTGGGGGTTGGGCTGCTTAACAATCAAATCTGTTTGATTAACTGTCATTTATCATATTTATATAGCAGTAAATTTGAAACATAATAGTTTGATCTCAGATTAATCACTGTGATATTTGGAGACAATTATCCAGCAACTGCACTATTCAAGATGACCTGAAAATCAACCATCAGCAATAAAAGCTAGACCATGGCACTTTTCTGATCATCAGGGTGGATAACAGCCATCAGTCTTACTAAGTATAAAGCAAAAGTGGGTGTAAAACTCTTTAGGAACAAGCTTTTGTTCTCAACAGAGGTGATAATTAATGATAATTACAGTGATCATTATGTAGCTTTTCTCATCGTTTTGCTTATTTTTCAAGAGCAATCATTTTCCTTTTGTGGAGGAAATATATTTATATATATATAACAGCTCAAAATGGAGCATTTATTTTTTTAGCAAATATTCACTGAATACATGGCACCAACTGTTTGAAGGATTCCCTTTAGTTTTCTCCATTCTCTGCATTAAGCTGTCATAACGTTCATCTTCATAAGAGTAAGATTTGAAGTGATAAATCATTTTAAAGCTATTTTTCACTTAAAACATCTTTCTCTATTGATAAGAAGAAATATGTTTACGAAAAAACCTGTATGCATACAGATAAGTTGAAATATTCTAACTTTTGAGCAGTTCAGAGTAGCCTCCATAACCAGCAACTCGTGAGCCAAGAATGAAGTTGGAGGTATCTGGCTGCCTTACTGATCTCCTTGCTCAGCTCCACAGGCTGCAGCAGTACTCTCATCCAGCTGAGGCATCTTCAAAGTGTATTCTACAGAACCCCTGGTCTCTTAGACCAGCTCTGGTCTCACAACAGCCTTGTAGACAGTTTGATGCTGTACTGACAGCACATCTGCTTCCATCCGGAAAAAGCCAGAGTCACTTTTTTACAGTTCTATTTCATAGTCCTGTGATATGAGCTGTTTGAATTCAAACTCAGGATGATCATATTTTTTCAGATCAGAAGACGCAGACCCACACCTGCAACTTTAGTGGCATCCAGTGATCAATCATCACCTGGTAAGTCATTCTACTCCAAACGCACACTCATACACAGACCGTAGAGCCGGTGGATAAATGATACAGTGTCCTGAAGTGTGGGTTATGTCTGTGTTTGTGTTGATTGCTCTGCCTCCAGCATGAAGCAGCAGTTATACATTTACAGTGTAAAGTAACCTGTCAGGAATGCACAGGGGCACATATTTGATTGGTCAGAGTCAACGGTTCTCTGGAATGATCCTTCTCACTTGCCCTCTATATTTGCAACTCATTGCTTCAGTAATGTGACCTTTTTTCAAAATGGATTAATCAACATTTGCACACAAAACAAAAAACAAGGTATCATAATAAATACACTGATACAATCTATGATGAAATCAGTTTAAGTTTTTTTTTCTGGAGGTCAGATTATTTCAACCTGTTTCTTAGGGGGAAAAACTGTTGTTTCCCCTCTTGAATACGATTATTTTAGTTTTAGTTTAACAACTATGATGAAACACCACCATTGAAGGAAACCACAATTTCCCTCCAACCAAAGCCACTGCATTCATGACCCTCAGCCAAACCCCACAATCCTGACTTTGATTTAAATCCAAGTCTCAGTTAACACATGTGAATCTCAGCACTTTTTTATGTTTTTGTCTGTGCAAGTATTTTTCTACCCTGAATGAGACTAATCCAAGCAAAAAAAAAAGTTTAAAAAATCTTCCAGCAGCATTGAAGCAGCAAAACAAGCCCAGTGTCCTCTCATGGGATCTTAATTATCAAACACAACAGCAGAGCTCTGAGGAGTTATCCTGCTGTATGAGTCATCCGGTGGCTCCCTGCTTTCTTCTCTGCCTCAGTACCTGAATGTGCATTTGTGTGACCCACTGCAGACTTAAGAGATCAGCAGGATGTCAGACAGAGGAGACAATTTTCTATTAGTGAGACGCTTGTATTTTCTGTTGGGTGTGAACAAAAGGAAGTGGATGCATCATTGAGCATTTACACAGAGGACTGCTATAATATTTTTGACATTGGTGCTAATACTACCTTTAAAAAAACAATCATCATGGAGTGGATGTACAGTTCTTAACCACAGCTCATTTTAACTGCTGCTGAAAATGTAATAAAGGTTTTTTTTGCTGACAGCATTTCAATTGATGAAGAAGAAGTAATTCCAACGACTTTAAAGAGGATAGTTCTGTTGTCACCAGCAAAGAAAATAGTGTAATGGTAAATTTTAGTTGATCAAAACCTTCTAAATTTTGGTCATGAGAAATACAAAAGAGAAAAAAAAAAAAGTCCAATAAGATAATAACGGAAATTAACTGAATATTACACCAGTGAGTATTTGGAACAAAGTAGAGACACCTTTTAAATGCTGACAGTATTGTCAACAGTACTTACTCAGTCACTGTTACCACACATAAAGAACTGAGAGCCAGTTAGTGGTCAACAGCTTGTAGCAGTGAATTTTCAGTGGAAAGGTGTCTGCAACATGCAAAACAACAACATGCCATGTTAGAATACTAACCAGACTAACAGGACACAGTTTCATTGGAGATTGGCAGTTCATTTTCTGCTCTGTTCCTACTTCACAAATGGACTGTTCAATGAAGGTGTCTGTCTGGGTTGCGCTCTTCTCTTTCCTGAGCCAGTCGTAACTGGTCTGTCAGACATCCCTGCAGAGGCCTGGCTCTCAGTCAGTGCTGCTGCATTACCCGCTCCTCCCCCTGCTGCCCCTCCTCAAGTGTGTCTGACAGACTCTAGACTTACTCGTGCTTCTGTATCAGCATCCCTCATCCCTCTCCCCATTGGCAGCCTTCCTTTGGCTGCTTGGGATCTTGAGAAACACACATTTAACTGTAATAAAATGAGAGCTGACCCTTGCAAAACAACGTGAGAGTAATAGTAAGTTTACCTGAGGTGACTGAAAGTACACAACAAGTGCGACCCCATCACATCCTGCCCACTGGTCCGAAGCCCCTTCGCCGACTTCAAGCCCTCAGTGCTATTAAGGCCTGAGTCAGTTCAGCCTCGACTCTAAGCCCCCAAACAGCTGGGGCTTTTGACCTGCATTATGGACGACTGCACTCCAGTTTCTGCACCTGACACAGATTCATGATGCTGAAAATGCTCCCATAGCCGGCTCCTTCCATCAGCCAGATGCCAAAGCAAGGAAGGGCCCACCAACATGGAGGAAGACGCTACCCTGACCCAGAATCTATCCACACAGACAAAGGAAATGGAGTCAAGCACAGGCTGCTGTCTGAGCTCGAGCCTTATTCGACAAAAAGCAGAACAAGACGTAATGTGATTTAAAGCTGTCAGATGTTTCAGGACCCCTTCAGGTCCATCAGCCTCTGCCTCTGAATCAAGAGCAAAACAGCCACATCTAAAACGGGAAATGACTATAAAGCTTGTATACAACCCCTTGCAAGCATAGGCTGTGTTGTGTACAACTAAGTCAAGCCTGTATAGGTCAACAGATTTCATAACTTGGTCAATAAGATGACCCAAACAACAGATTCACACATAAATAATTTTTTGAGAGTTTTTTTACACACATTATAATGAAAACACTTAATAGACCTCATTCTTTTCATGTACTCTGATCGCCCAGGCAGGCCTTCCCTGACTGTTTTCAGTTGTTCCGAGAAGCTGGATCTGCTTACACTCTTTTAGTTTCAGCAAATAGAATAAACACTAACAAACTCGATGAGGAATTTGTGCCAAATCCATTCAATGTTCCCTGCTTTGCGCCTAAGAAAAAACATGAATGATGGTACAGAGCAGTCATGTTAAGGACAGGTTTAAACTTCATTAGATATGAATGTGTATAGTTGCAGAACTTGAAATCAATGGACCACCATGCCACAAAAATTAGTGTTGATAGACAAAATTGTAAGACTGTGAGATTAAATCAGGCTTCCAGAGGTAATAACACATAGAATCAGATGCAATGACACAATTTCAGTTGTATTTCTCTGTTTTTGTGTAAAACATAGATAGAAAAGGATGTGCAAAAATTAGTGGGGGATGGGGAGGAATGGATATGATGAGGAGGGAGAGGCACTGTGCGGGTACAGTAAAGGTGCGCCCCACATCACACAGAGACCTGCATTATTAAATGTTCTGCTCTCAGCTCTATGAACCCCACAAGCACATCAGAAAACAGGCACTACTGAGATTCAGGTTACAATCTAGATATTGAAGAAAGATCATTAGCGATGAATTTTCCATTTGACAGAATCTCGTTTTAGGAGGCATATTTAGGTGGGGGAACTATACCACACTGACAACACATATCAAACAATGCATTCTATCTGTGTGGCACATAGCACAAGGTTTTGTTTAGCTCATTGTGCTTCATCAGATGCTGCTCAGCAACTTTCAGCTGATGTCAGTTTATTGTTTCAATCACATAAAAAACTAAACATCTCAGCTTGTAGTACCCACTCTGTTTTCTCATTTGGGTTTGTGCCAGATAATCAGTCAACTGGGAATTGTAGCGACAGACTCATCACCTCTGCATGAGCTGCTTTATTGGCATTTCTCTCATTCTGCAGCACATGAGGGTTTCACACACTTAAAGTCAGTCATGAGAAAACCAAGTCTTATGTTAACTGACACTAATGCTTTTTTAATCATGTCCCTGGCATATTGTTTGTTCAAATCAAATTGAGGTGACATCCATGGTTTTAGACTTTAAATCTATCCATCATTCAAAATCCCATAAACAACCTCCAACCTCCAAGCAGGACAACCTCCATTTGGTGCAAAAATATATATAGTAATCTCAGAATTATAGACACTGAGTTCAGGAGTACATCAAGGGGACCAGCTGCTAACTTGGTGGGATTCCATGCAAGAAGTTGTTACTAGTGTGTGTTTTTCCTAGCATCCGACAGAAAGAAAAAAAAGAAAGAAAAGTCTCAAATCTCACAGAAAGTATCAAAGACAGGCTCAAATCAGAAAGCCATTAAAGAAATTACCACTCAGAATTTGTCTCTATAGCAGTGTTAATAGATCACTGAGGGTATTTTAGTGCTGAAATGGGTTGTTTCAAATTAAATCTAATTAAATGTACCCAACATTTCAAATGCTGACAAAAAGTAGCTGAATCCACCATCCTGATATGCAATTTGGCTCCCAAAGCAGCATAGAAATGCAAGTTTTGAGCCACAAAAATGCATGGACAACTAGTCATTTTCTTATCAACTTTTAACTTTTTATCAACAATTATATGACACAGTTTCCATTTCAAATTGTCATCCATCCATTTATTTTAAAATACTATTAGTAAAGCTTCTTTTTGTTGCATTCCTTCAACCACTGCAAAACAGGTATAAACATTTTTGCAATAAACTCAAATTTAATTTGACAAGAGTATGTCAAACAACAGCCTATAAGAAGTCATAAACTATAAGTGGAAGCCCATGTCTTATATATGAAGTTAAAATGAAATGTTTTAAAACCTTTCAAAATACTTAAGCAAGATTCACTTTAAAGCATTACCATATGAGATTGAATTCTGACAATGACGTTAATCCTGCCAATTTCTTCAGTATCGATACCCTGAAAAATATATTTGTAGGTAAATTGTGTTAATTCAATAGTGATGGCATCTCAAAAGGAGACAGTACAAACTGAAACAGGAAGGGGATTTCTCAACAGGAGACAAATTAATAAGAACAAGAAGAACCTGTTAAGAAATTAGTCAATAGTTGAATGTTTAGTCGGTTCAAATAATGCTTAGGAGTTTTATTTTTTCTTATGTTGTGCAAGAACGCTGTGAAAGTTGCATCAGCACCACCTCCAATGTTCGGTAAAAATGGAGACATTGTTGAGTGTCAGATAACCATCTGGTTGGAGGTCACCTTTTATCCACTCTGCTCACTGTGTATGGACACAGAAATGTTTCAACTAAACTGACAGTGGGCTGAAAAGACTGACTGCACCATTAAACCGGTGAAATGACAAATGAGAAGCTTCGTGTGCAGCCTTGCTAAGATGGATCCAATATTTTCCACTTTTGAATTTTCCAACCACTAAAAAGGTTGTTTGTTTTTTCACAGAAATAGATGAAGATCGGCTCCCAAACCAGTTATACAAGGTAATCTGATTTATGCTTCACGAATGGCAGTTTAATTTGTATTCAATTACAGACATACACTTCCATACATCCTGTGCCTCTATTTCTATTGAATCGGCTCTCTGGTCAGCTCATGTGTTACTTTGATATTTTTCAGGCAGCCCTGTTGAACTCCCCTCGACAAAGGCGAAAAGGGCAAAAGGGGACACCCACAATGAAAGGTACTTGTCATCACTCTAGTATGTGTGTAGCTGACTTGCTTTGGGTTGGATTTTGCTATTGGAAAGCACCAACAAGAGGCACATTTTTGTTCCTGTTTCTGCTTTCTATGATTTATATTATTTGCTGTGCTGTTTAAGACTCTCAGAAACATTTCATGAGTTGTATTATCATTTTTAGCCTCATTAGTCAAATTCCTGCTGAGTGTAGATGGCTGCCTTCCCTATGTCTGGCTCCGCAAGAGCTTTCTTTCTGGCAGTTGGAGTTGTTCTTTTTCCACTGTCACCTTGTGCCCCTCCAGGATGGGGCATTGGATTGAAATTAAATTTTCAGGCAATCTTTAGTTTTTTTTTAAGTTGCTCCATACAAATTTGGCCATTTTGAAATTTGATTAATTCTATTGAATTATAATGTTGTTACATTTTATTTAATTGGATTCTAATTTACTTTGATTGGACTGCATCTTCATAAATAACTAAAATCACTGAAATAAATGGAATAAAATCTCTACTTATCCCAACTGATTGTCCCTTTTCTGGACTGAAATTTCAATGATTTTTTCATTTTTTTTATTGGGTCTTTGTTAGACTGAAGCACTTTGGTTTACAAATACTTCAATAAAATCGTTAGGATCATTCAAGGAAAAGTTTGGGTAATGTTTCAGCACCTAATGCTTCATAAAGATGTGCACATCTCTCAAGTTTGTGCACAATGTAAGCAGCAAAACAGAGAAGGAACAGAAGCAAGAAAGAAATTACAGGGCAGAGTTTTATAGGTAGGTTAAAAATAGGAAGGTTAAGAATAATAAAAATAAAAATATATATGAAACTGGTTACACAGAGAAATTATAGAATTGGACGTTTCTTTTTTTCTTTGCACCTCATGTAGGGATTAACCAAAGGATGGCATTTTAATGAAATGTTCACCTCCAATAATTGTTTTTGATCTCTTGGGTTATTTCACCTTGACTGACTCTCCTTCCGTGCATCGTCCTACTCTGTGCGGGATCCTTTCCAGAAGACATCATTTCCCTCTCACAGCTTCTCTCATATCTCCTCCTCTCTGTTTGCAGAGCTGCAGTTCATGGTGGAACACCACCTGTACCGGCAGCAGCAGCAGGGAGCGGGGGACGAATGCTCCTCAGAGAGCTGTCTGTCCGACCGGCCCAGTCCTGACTCTTTTCCCACCGGAGAGGAGCTCCCACATGATGATGAGGCAACTGCAGAGGCTTTTGAGAAACTGCGCTTCCAAATGGAAGGTATGCCACGCTAACTATATATTTTACAAATAACCGTGGCCGGCCTCCTCTTCAAACTATTCGTAAGAAATTGGCTTTTTTCCCAGAACATTGAAACTACTCTGTTAATGAAAAGCTGTGTACGCTCAAACTAACATCCCAGCTGATGGTATTGGCTAAAGTGCTTTACCTTTAATGACAGAGACAGTTCAGCTCAGGCCAAGGAGTGGCAGGTCCCACTATCAGCACATCATGTACACACTTCAGTAATCGCCCATGAGTAATGCATCACAAGTGGCAAGAGCCTTTCATTCTCAAGTACTAAACACAGTGTAAAAATTTAATGTTAATTCAGCCCACAGATGTTTTAGTGCTGTAAAAGCTTGAAAAGCTTTACTCTAAAATTAAAAGATGACCCTGCCGTATGGATTATTGACAAGTAGAGCAGCAAATGAAGTTCTCAGTACAAAGGAGCACAGAGGAACCTGGTGGAGACAAATCAATGCCCATTAACACCACCAGTCTTATCGCATATGGCCTCGTTCAAAGATCAGCATTTTAAATTCACTCTGAGACGTAAATAACCTGCATCTGTAAATATCACGAGGCACAGATCGATAAGAAAGAGTGGAGCACCTAAAAGTGCCTGTTAGCATTTTGCCACCAGCACTGTATGATGAAATGACCTGCTTCCTCTTCAGTAGGTCAAATTTATCAATAACTGTCCTCTCTTCTGGTTAATCCTGTATTTGTATCTCTGTCCCCCCGCAGAGTTCTCAAGGGATAGTCTATTAGAAGCTGCTGGAGGACTCGAATGCCCTCTCCCCAAGGAAAAGGAGGATTGTTCAAATGCTGGCAGTGTAGCAGATCCTTCATTACAACAGAGGAGTGCACAAGCAGGTATATGCCAGCCCAAAGACTTGCTCACGCAGGATTCATCCCCTTCGGAACTTCCATCGTGGAATTTCCCTGAGGGGGACTCCTAGTCATCCGTTCAGCAGGCGGGCAGCAGGCTTTATTTATTTATGTAAAATAATTCACCAGAATAGGTTTGGTGTAATGTAATCACGGCTTTATAACAAACATGTGTGAAGTGGCTTTGATCCACGCTTCAGAGTGCAGAAATACATCCAATAGGGATAAATTAGCCTGGTGGGAGCAGTGGTGGGAAGCGATGCTTCATTTCTATGAGGAATCTGGGTAAGTCATCTGATCTGCTGTCTAATATTACTCTGATCATTGACAGATTCTAAGACTGTACACCATTAGTTTTCACTCATATCAGCAGGTTTAAATGATAATGCTGGTTAATTATTGATGATTTCCTTAAATTATTGCTAAATATGAGTTAAGGGATAATCTACCATTTCAGGTGCTAAACCACACAGCTTGACACCTTACTTGGGAGAATACAGGCGCTATGTTCTAATAATCACTCATAATTTGGCTTTGGATTTCTGGACATGGGAAGGCGTAAAAATGGCACCAGAATTTAAAAATCACATTGGCATCATTCACACCTCACCTGAACACACGTCAAAGCCCTATGCTTGAGCATCCTACACGGTTATGTGTGAATGATTCTAACCTGAGTCACCAGATGGCTTATACTGTGGAACAATCTGGAAAGTTAATGGAAAAAGGCAGGCAGTTACAAAATGGAAAAAAAAGCATTTGGCAGGTGTTTGAAAACAGTACATACCCTATCCACAAGCATCTGTCATGGATTATCTCTGATCAGTGAGATCTACAAACTCTCACAAGTGGAGCCAGCTGGTAAATTGACTCGTGGAGACTTTTCATATGGCACCTCTTTTCATCCTTGCCAGTTGGATGTTAAATCTCAGCCTGATGGAGAAGAGGAAGAGCATCTTTTCGGTCAAGTGAAGCTTCATTTATTGTTTAAGAAATATTCTCCTGCTCTTGCTCAATTGGTGGCTTTTGGACACAAAGATAACGCAGCCATATTATTATTTTACAGTAAATTAATCTGATTTAATCTTAATTTGAATTTTACCTGCCTAATGAGATGGATGTGCAATATGCTTCGAGCACAGCAAGTCCAATCTTGGTTTATTGTTGGAGACCCCAACTCGGAGATCATCCTCCACATTCAATCGCGATTGTATTTATTTTTAAGCTACATCAGGGCAGAGAAAGTCTTTCTGCACAAGTAGGTAGTGCCAAACGGCATCAGTACATCCAAAGCCGCCCTGGAATTTAGACAGCCTCTTAGAATTAAACACTGTCTTCAACGTTCGGTCACTTTTGATGTATTTACTTGGTTTTATTTTAAGCCAAAGCCAAAACACAAGAATGTCTTTTTAGAAATACATTAACCAGGGCCTTGGCCCTGAAATTCAAATGCTACATTAGGATTATGAAAACTTTGTTTATATGTAGAAAAAACACAATTGATAAGTGCAGTTCTTATTATTTGTAGTTCATTTGCCGCCCTCAAAGTCGAAAGCCTCTGTGATTTATGTCTTTGTCTTTATTTTCAGAGTCAAAAGCAGGAGCCTCCAGTGCGGATCAACCAGTTGAGGAGCAGTTGAAGAAATGCAGCTTGGAGAAAGAAAAATAAAGCAGTTCTCTTTGCAACACAATGCCATTTAGTCTGCTCTGTCAGCCCAACAAAGTGACAAAAGATTGTGTATGCAGATTCATTTTTGATAAACGTCAGGGCATCTCTATTCTTCTACAGTCAGGCCTTAGTTACCACCTCAAAATCGAATATTTCTACATTTATTTTGTGATGAAACAATCTGTGTAAAGGGACAATTATTTATTCATATTTGTTTGTTTCAGATTTCCCTGCACTAATCTAAAATCAGCCTACTGTGTGAATGAACTTCAGGTGGTCTTCTCCCATATCAGCCACACAATCATGATCATATTGTTCCACAATTAACATGCTTAATGTCCTTTTCAGTGGCTGTGAATAATTCTACTATATTTTCAAACATTGCACATGTGCCATGACACCAACTATTATAGTTCCATCTCAAAGCAATAAAATTGCATCTGCGCCTCATAAAAGAGCCATGTCTATGGCCAATCCATATTCAAATGCTCATTTATCTGGTTAATTGCAAATTAGGTGTACAAGGTTGACTGACAGCTTCCATTATTATTTGTTTTTGTATTCATAAACTGCTGGGGTAGACGTTTAAAAAATCCTCTATTGTCTTAATAATTTGAAATCAAATTTAAGAGCTGCTTCAGCACATTGAGCTATGAAAGCTGGTTTAATGCTTAATCATTTTGACAAATGCTTCAGAATTAATCAGCATTTATTTAGATAATGGACTTCTAGTCTGTTTCACAAACATCTGACACAACTATGTTTGTCTTTCAATCAAACCGAGCATATGCACAACAGGTGTTAAAGCTTGTGTTTTCTTTGGGGTGTATTTCCTGCCTGCAGTTTATTATCAAGTATTTCATTATTCATTACAACAGTGATTGCGTTTTACTGCTATAAATGTCTCCAACATCTGGATGGTGCTGTGCCTGAATGTCTACACTGTGAGGCACAAACAGAGCTCCTGCCTGCTGCCTTCACCTTCTGTATGGATGTTTTATGGTTTTGGATGGAGCAAACATCTTAAACAGCACTTTTGTACTTGTTTTCTTGTTATTCAAAGAGGAAACTCTTCATGACTTCATTAATTTTTTAAGATGGCATCTATACTAGCTGTGAAAAATCTAATTCATTTGATTTATGAACAGATTTATACATGGCATTAAGACTCAGTGTTCAGTTTTATCAGTTGTTGATTACAAAAGGAAAAAAAAGCAGCCAGATGCAGCCATTTTTTTTCAGTAGTTGAATATATCTTTCCATCAATAAAAAAAAAACTTTTCATCTGATACAAGATATTTTGCTCTTTTTGGAATTACATTTTAATCCATAGAGACTTTAAAGGCTCCTGCCAGTCAAAACAGATGAAATACGCTGAAGGATTTTTACATTGGAAATACTCCGTGAGAGATCTTGGTATTTTTTTTAAAGAAATAAAAACAGTGTCTTACACAAGCATTTTTGTAAGACTTAAGTATTACAAAAATCAAACGTAAATCATCCTTAAAATATAGTGGTTAGTTAAAAGTGTGCAAATACGCTTGTTACAGATGGAGGCTTTTGCTGCTTGGTTTACATACTTTGAATAGACGAGAACAAATCCTGTGACTAGTGAGCAAATTGAATTCCCATTTTTGACACTTGGATGCTTATTGGACATCTGAATCTTAGTAAAAAAACACTGTCTTGCATGGCACTGAATGTACAGTGATGACCTTTTATCTGAATCAAGGATGTTCACTGTGCTTTACTTTCTACAAAAAGAGATTAAACATCCTGCACACAAAGTAGTGTATTTGTAAGCAGATTGGTTCCATTGAAACATTACCTATCCACGTGGCATCCTGTTTTTATCCTGGTTTTGTATTTATTAGAAGTTATAAAGTCATCAACACACTCTTAAATTGTGTACCATCTGCTATCTATATCACTGAAATGGCATTCTCCTGTAAATGTTGTGACAATCCTTCAATAACCTTAATATCATACTATCTTCGTCATACCGTCTTCATAAACTAACAAACAAAACCTAAACAAAAAACGGAGTCACCTTAGTGTTGTTGTCACTCTCAGCAGTTTCTTTCCCAGTTACAACAGTGACCACTTTCTCGATAAAAAACAACAGCGATAGTAGGCATTCCTGTAAACTTTTTTTCCATTTTTTTTCTGCTGTATATCTACGGGCCATGTAACGTTTGTTGTATTTTTGAATGGTTATAGTGTACTTTACATTAATTTAACCTTGGGAAATTTTGTTCCAGTTTTACTTGAATTTATAGAGGATTACATCTGTAATCTAAATTTCTTTGATACAATTAAATATTTAAATTGGTGATGAGTCATTGTTTTTACTTATTTTTCATTCATTTCAATCATTCACTTGACAGTTGTCAGTATGAGCACAGTGACACCCAATTAAAATGCAAGCAGAATGCTTGTCAGTGGAGAGCTAAATTAAACTTAGCCTTCTCGTCTTGGGATAAGTTGAGGCAAATCTTGACTAAACCCTAAAAATAGGATTTCTGCATTGAATAATTCAATATTTCCGGAGCCAAGAGCATAAAATGGGCATACATTTTTCATAAACAAGGCAGGATTTGACACATACATTTTGTAACGCTGCAGCAGTTATGCAATGCACACACAGATGGTTGCCTTTTACTGTATCTTTTTTTATACCATTCAGTTCTCTAGCTAAATTTTCTGTTTAATTAATCATGGCCTCAGGATAGTATGTGATTAAACATGAGTGACACCCAGAAAAAAAAAATGTATATACATATATTCCAACATTTTAAATTCCATTAGGCTTCATGTAAAGATTGAAAAAAAAAACTTTGATGCAATTTTCTCCTTTTGTTTCAAACATAATGAGGATGTGAAAGTCTGTATTTACATAGATGGTTTGAGTAACAAAGTCAAATAAATATTTCACTCTTTTAGACACAGACAATGAAACTAAGTCCTCAGGGCAACCCTGGAGCGATTTCTGTCTTTGCTCTATGGCCCCTCCTACTGGAAGAGTAAAGTATCAAATTATTGTTGACAGGAAACAAAAGAATATTAAGGTTTGAAATGTGTATGATAAAGGCAGGTCTAAGAGAGGAAGTACTTATGTATTTTTGAAAATGATAGAATTAAACTTTATCTTTATGCAAAGAGGTCAAACGTTTAAGCCTTTCCTAAAAAAAACACATTAAATCAAATGTTTTTACCTTCATCACAACAAAAGAGGGATCTAGTGCCTCTGAAGCTACTGAGTGTTTTTATGATACTGTTAGAGTCCTGAGCAAACACTAACAAATGAACTAAGCTGGGTTAAGAAAACTATGCAGGGAAACCTTTGTGTCCTAACCGAACTCAGCTCTTCTGGGGGGGAAGACCCCATTAGCTCAATAAGAATGAGAAAAATTTGTAGTGTTCTTTTTTTTTTGGTTTCACTTCTGGGATGTGCTTTGCCGTGTGAAGACGTGCATGCAGAGGCTCTGTGTAAAAGTTGTCAAAAAATATTAATATCGCCATACTGTTTTCCTTCCTAAATCTTTTTTTTTTAACCTTTATTTGGAAAAAAACATAATCCCAATAAGAAAGAATTCTTAGATAGGCAGAGACAAGAGGGAGGCCTTGCCCTAACAAATTATTTGCATTATTATTAGGTGGCTAATCTACATATGCTGTTGTTTTGGGTCTCATAGTTAGCTGATGATGAAACCCCAGTGTGGGTACATATTAAAAATACGCATCTAGCCCAGTATCCCTACGCTCATTGGTCTGTCCTCCTCTGCCCTTAAGCAAGCACTTTTACACAAACAACCCCGTTGTACAGGACTCAGAATCTCGGTCCAATTCAGAACTCGACTTGCCCTAGATGCAAACAGGTGCCAGCCAACCATGCCGCATGTACTGGTCTTTTCCCAGGCTCAAAGAGTTTTGGACCGAAAATTTCAAAACCTTTTCATCCATTTATAACGAAAATAAAGAGCCCGGCCCTCTGGCAGCCATTTAAGGTGTAGACCCCAGGGAGATACAAATTAAGGATTGCTCAAAGGAAAGCTAAAGCACTCTTTTCATTGTTGACCAGGAGACTGATCTTTTTTAACTGGATAAAGGCAGCACTACCAACCCATAAATGACGAGTAGAAGAGATGATGGCATACCTTAAATTAGAACATCTTAGATTTACTAACACTAACAGAAAGGTTTGGCAGCCTTTTATTTCCTATTTTGAACAGGAGTTTTCATCTTCTCTGACATAATTAGTATGTCCCCACCCCGTCCCTTTTTTCCCCTCTCCAATTTTTATTACTGTTATTGTTGTCATTTTAATCAGTGTATTTACTTTTAACCTGAGAGTGTCTGGACCACACAGGTGGTGGGTATGTCTGATGTCTAGCAGTATTAGGATCTGTCTTGTTACTGTTTTTTCTGTGGTTTAGACCTGTACTTGTGATGTATATTTTAAATCCAACTATTTTGTTTTGAATGCGATATCTGATGTTTGAATATGAAATTCAATAAAAACACTTTGAATATTATGGTTTTAGTGTCTGACAATGTTTGACTCTGATACTATATATTATCAAAACAGTAAGAAATATTTTAGGAAGCATGGAATTCCTTACCAAAACGGTTCCAAAAACTTGTAGAATCAAACTCACAGATTGGAAACAAGTATTCTTTTCTTTCCTTTTGTCACCCTTGGAGTTCCATTATGAAGTATTAAGCTCAGAGGAAGATTTATAGTAACACAATTCAAAACAAAAATGTTTAAATAACAGGTTTTATGACAGTGTTCACAGTGTTCACAACATATATAAGGTTTTTGTGACAGTTGTTAAAGATTTGTGGAATTAATATGCTCTGACTTGTGGTCCTTGTTTGATTGTAGATTAAATTACAGAAAAAGAGCTTTACACCTTTCCTCTTTCCTGATGAACTCCCTACCTTTAACAAAAACATAAATCACAAAAATCCAATTAATATCGTTTTTAACATTTAATGGAGAGTTAAATGATTGGTGTGCACGTAAAACTACAATCAGAAATATCAGAAAAAAGAAATTCCTTTTATTGTGTTTCAGTGGCAACGTAAATCCATAGCATGTACTACACAACATATAACATGACCAGCATGTACACTTTCCACCAAAATGACTGTGGTGTGCGACTCTTCATGGAACTACTCTGCATCTTACCTTTGGAAGATGATCTTGACCTAAAGTAAACCCTAGTCTCCTCCTCAGTCCCACAGTCATTAAAACATTAAGTTCCTTCTTTTTTTCCCCTTCTTTTTTTAATAAAAAGTGAATCACTGTTGACCCTATTTAACATTTGAAGATATTCCTTTAAGCAAATTCGTAGAACAAAAGAAGTCCTGTCTACTTTTTAGTATGTGCAGTGGGGTCTTGCAGAGACTTTTCTGACAGATCCTCTTGTTCTGGTCTGTGTTCTTTTGTAACACTGGAGTCTGAAACCCCTAGAGGATATAGCAGATTGGAAAAAGCATTGGAAAATGTTGTTAAGCTAAAAGGAAAACAATATCTGTGACTGTTAATCTCAACATGAGATCACTTGGAAATGATTTTAGATAACAAATCAAATCAGGGGGGTGTTCCTGCCAACTGAGGCACATATCTTTACAGACCATCCTTTGATTTTCTGGTTAGGGTTGCCAAATTATTTTGAACTTTGAACATGATGTATTGTGAAATTACACTAGTAGAGTAATGTCATTTCTTTGGGTTAGATTAAACTTTAAAATATCGTCATGGCAGTGTATGTTAATAGTATTAATGTAAAAGAATATACCATTAGATCCGTTCTCTTTCCATTTGAACTTGTTGTCCTCAGTGTGCCGTGTCCAGGTTGAGCGAAAGCTCACCAGCTCAGCGGTGACGTGTGCCAGACTCCACTGCAGACCTCTTGAGCTCTCTTTCCAGAGGTTACTGTTGACAACAGCGACATAGATCACAGGGGATTTACAGCATCATTTCTGTTTGCGCAGACATCCATGTTTTCCTTAGGTTGATTCCCAGGCAACACAGTAACCCTCTGACTCTGACTTCAGATGTCACTACTCAAAATACCAAATTGTTGACTTAATCAGTAAAATACCCCAGCAATATGCAACATTTTTAGAATTCTCAACAGAAGACACAAAAATAAAGAATTGAAATGTGTGTAACGATACAGCTTGACAAAAAGTCTTTTCATTTGACAAAAATAATAAAAGAAATATCAATCTTATTTGGCTTAGGAGTTATGTTTGCACTACAGTTTGTTGGGTGTGTCCAGCTTGCAGTATTTGAGCAAAATCCCCTCTTTATTATAGTTTTGATATGACCCAATTTGCCTGACATTTGTTTTTTTCTTTACCAAAGAATCAGTTACTAAATCACTCACTTAAACTGTCCTTTCAAGTCTTTAAAGTCTTTGTGCACATATTTTTTTTTACATAATACCATGGATGCTGACCAGATATGTGACACATGAACTGCCTCTCAAGTAAAAATTGGAAAATGATTCTTGAGGGAACTTTCCAGAAAGTTTCCAGCAGGTGAATATGGTGTCTGCCCTGTGTGTGTGTGTGTGTGTGTGTGTGTTTGAGGATTTACCTGTGTCTGTTGCAGGGGTCGGGTTGAACTGGGTTCTCCTCCACTAAAGGAATAACTATCTTTTCTGCCATGTCTGTCAGCAGCGAGAACGTTGGATACACAATGAAGTCTATGAAACCTGCAAGATAACAATTCGTCATATCAGCCATAGACAGTGTATGATGTCACAGAACTGGAATAGTGTAAGTTCTGGCATGCAATTTATTTTGAAGTGTAATTTCGATGTTCTTGTTACACTTTACTCTTGTTACACTATAGAGAGAAAGAGAAATGCCTCCAAATACTAAATAAAAGGGGACTTATTGATACACTATCTAAAGTTATATAGTCTGAAAATATATATTGAAAGGATTTGGGTGGTTTATGAGACGTACCGATCTGAGACTCAGCTACGAGGGTGCTTTGTCGATCACACAGCGGAGAGAAGGGGAGGCCAAGCTCCGCCTCTCTATCACCCTCAGATAGAGACAGCAAGAGAAGATATTTAAAGGGCATCCTACACAGGACCTGAAAATAGCTCATTGAAGTTTTTTTAAATATCAAAGTGAAGGGAAAGTACACAGAACATCATCTGCCCTTCCCTAAGTGCGAGTGTTCAATGGACTTATTTAGTTCGGGATAATTCATTAGGCCCTCATTTTAACATGCACACATTCACAATGACTTCTTCAAATGTTCATAAAAGATTGAAAGTAAAATGAAAGAAACTAAGCACTTTCGTATGTGATGTTTTTATAAGTATCTGACTCCACCAATTTCGTGTCTCTGAGGAATTTTTCGGGACTCTATCCAGAGAGAAATATTGGATGAGCTTGTATGATCTGGCCATGTAAGCAAAGCACTGCACAAAAAACTGAGGAACTATGCAAAAAAATATTTGTATTTAACTCTGTTTTTAACTCAGTTGAGCTCTTTATTAGACTGAACCGCATTTAGGCATCCAGTCTTTTGACAAATCACTCATCTTGAGATTTTTTGAACTGCCAGTCAGCTAGTACACAGAACATCAGACAATGTGAACAGAAAAGAGCAGCATCTTTTGTTCAAAACGAAACAGAAATCAAACAAATGTAATGCCACTAAGGGCTGAGAACAAACTTTCTGAATCACAACTCGGAAAATTAGGTTCTGTTTTATGTGAGGGCTTGAAGTAAAACTTAAAGCATTAGAAAGTTCTTTATATTTTTTGAAAAAGACAGATATAACACTGAGTTACTTATCTAAGCTAGATGAGGACCTCAGAGTTTTGTTTCAAGAAAAAATAGAAATGCATTTTGCATGTTGGACAAAGCGAAATAGCCTAAATTATCCGGTTTTGGTAGGTAGAGTCTGTTGCTGAACGAGTCAGTGTGTAGCCACAATTTCCTATGGAAATCTATTCTAAATTTTAAACTTTATAGAAAAGACTTCTCAAATCTTCTTATTTATTTTCATATAGCTGTATTTATTAATGTACCTCTACTTTTTCTAGGGTACCAAAAGTACCATAAATAGCGGTTTACAAACAGATTAATAGTTTCATAAAACTCAGGTGCAGAAATCCACATGTTATCTTGTTGAAGAGATGAGAAGAGAAATTGACGGAGACAGCCGAAGCTTATTTAAGGTGCATACCTGCCTGAAAAACTCCTCCATCAGGGCTTTTGTCCAGCGAGAGTGCAGTGCCCAGGGCTTGGATGGATGGCTTATGTCAGCCGTGTGCAGTAACAGAGACAGAGCTTTGGGCTTATCAATCCTGATGGAGAAAGCATAATGCACCTCTTGTTTTGCACCTCCAGACAAAAGCAGCCTCTTCACTCTTTTTATCTTTTTGCGTATTTCTAGCTCTGAACTTTCATATTGTGAACTCTCGATAGCAAAGCAGAGTGGGAACAGCTACACAGTCAATTACCTCTCCTGTTGCTGTAGACAGGATTTCATTGCTTTAACTTGGAGTAGGTGGGAGGACATGTCAGTGGACAAAACCATCTCTATAACAAGCGATCGCAGCTCCCTGTAAACAAACACACACAAGGGATGAGGTTATTAGATGGCCTTAAATTGGGGGAGGAATCATAGAAAGTTGGCAGGCAGGAGACGTTAATGAGGTTGTAACCTTTCTAGATTTCCTCATGGATTTTCCTGTTGCTATGGTAACACTGACTACCAGAGAAACCTAAACAATTTACGTCTGGTGTTTATCTCAGCTGATATCTGTGGAGCAAAACAGCCACACATAGTGTTGGAGATACATGCAGCAGCAAACTTAAAACAGAGATTACATGGTTTGTTCCTAATAATAGTCATGACACAGCATCCGTGGCTGGCTTAAACTGCATCCCAAGATTGCGTTAAGGGAGTTCAATTGCTGTGACTATTACAGAATTACTCATCACTCATGCACTCATCTGCTGATGACTGAATATGAGCAACATGATTATGTATTGATCCCCACAGGATGTCAAAGTTCAGGGTCGTTTAACAGAGAGATTCCCTAAATAGCATCTCATCCCCCATTTCTCCATTTCCACAAAGAAATATGAGGAAAAAAATGGTAGATTACCTAGTCTGGGTGCTGTAATTTGACAACCATTCTGTTTTTACCAACAGCTCTTTAACTGTTGGCCCCCAATTAGGTTAATTATCAATACAAGAGTGTTGATCACACTATCTCTCCAAGAGCAGATATTCATTACTACTAATTTGAGTAATTAATATTCTAAATGCATTTTCATCTTACATCCATTCCTCTCGTGTCAAATTAATGAAGATGTTCACTTGGTCGTCCTGTAGCAAGTGAAATGCTGCACTCAAGTGATGACTTTCTTGTACAGACCGATCGTTGTAGATCAACGCAAACTCTGACCTGAAAGACAATCAGAGAAAACAGAGGCCACTAAGGGAGAGACAGAAGCTAAAGATCTGAGAAGATCAGAAAATGTCCAGGTACACAAAAACAATTCATTTAGTGGTGGGAAAAATATGAGCAGAGTAGACCCCTCGGAGAAAAATGTAATCATTATGAAGTCATGTCTGTAATTATAGATTTAAACATGTTGAATAGAGGGGTGGTACCCGATGAAAAAAATAGCACGGCGTGGGTTTTAATTCTCCTGATAACAAAGTAATTAACTTGTGTCTCAAGCTGGTATTCTATACACATTTATTTAAATAATTTACTTTATTAAACCAATTAAAACCGCTTCTAAGTATTTCAGTATGTATGCCTCTCAACTCACCTGTCAACATTTTAACTTAAATGAGTGTTGGAAGCATGAAGGACCACATAAAAGTCCATTTTATTACTGATACTTTCCTACTGTGTGAGAAGTTAAGACAGACAGTGCTCTTCATACAAGGGTAGCAGTAAAAGTTATCTGTTAACTTTACAAGTTGATGACACTCATTTTAGATTTTATTTTAGATTTTTTCCTTAAAACATGTTATTTTACGGTGTACAGACATTCTTTGTGCTTTATTCTAAAAATAAAGTTTGATGATGATGATTGGTGCCAAGAGACTGTGTTGGAAAATCTAAAAATACTGTGTTCCCTTTAAGAAGATATATTTGTGTTCTTTCCTTCTTCCCAAAACTGAATAAAGGGCTATACAAGACTTTTCTTTCCATTTTTTAAAACAGGATGTGGCATTTATTAGCAGGTACTTAATACACATGAGACTGGGTTGATAAAACACATTATGAAAATAAAGCTTACTTTGTATGGATGTGAAAGTTATTTGTAGTTCCCGTATGTTCATAGTCGTGAATGGCTGCAGCAAATAGTGACGCCATCACCTCAAGCTCTGTCAGCCAGTGCTGTTAGACACGTGAAAGAGAAGAAATCCATTTAAACAGAGGTGTGGCGGATGGAAAAAACCTGCAGTTACAAAATCATACATGCAAACCACGTACAAATCATACCATGTTGGTATTGATACCATATTGACGGTATATTGAACAAAGAAAATGGAAACAGGACTTGTGACCTAATCAAGCTGTTTCCACATGTGGCCATGCTTTGTTAGGGTTTGGAGTAAGACTGGCATCATGGCATGTGCCTGTGTCTTTATCAGGATAAAGGTACCTATATTGACTATCACATTTTGCTTGTTAATATGTTTTTTAACATGCTGAACAAGTACTAGAAATTTCCTGTGTTCCTCTGCATAAAGATTCCTTGTGGAAGTTCTCCTCCAAAAGTTTTCCCTTGAAAAATAATCTGTATAGCTAACGATCAGTAACAAGTTTGTCAACTGTACCACGAGTCCCGAGCGCAGCAGCAGGCAGTGCAGTGTCTGTGTAACATCAGCAGCGTGAACATGGTTGTGATAGGGGTTGTTGTGTTTGCAGTACCCTTTCTCCAGAGCAGACAGGAATTCTGTCAGGCATGAGATGGGGATCTACAAAAAAAGTCACCACATAATCAGTAAAGTCTGTGTCAACACTGAAAGCTTAAACAACCTGCAAAGAGTAACATGGTTAAGAATAACTGTTTAATGATGCATAGGATTTTTGCATATTTCTATGGAAACACTTATCTCTAAAAATACCATCAAGTGGAAACAACCAGTGTCTGACTATGTCAACAAATTCCAATACACATTTCCCTCGAACACATCCACAAGAGGAGCAATATTTATAATACTGTGAGATGTCCACTGGTGTTTCAGTAAGGCAGAAATAATGATGGTGAACTGCATATTGTATGATATTTTAAAAAATCCTTTGGTACAAGACCTTAAAACGGCGGTTCAGTTCATATCTGGTGATCAGCTCAAAGACCAGAGTTTGTAGTGCATGATCAGAGCTTGCTGAGTTCAGAGCAAACACGTCAAAGCTCCAACGGTCAACATCCTGAAAAGAAAAAGTGACAGCTACACTTAGGCATACTTGTGTTATGTACATGATCCCTTTTGAGATGTCACATTTAGTGAACAAACATTCAACACACTGTGAGATTTATGACTAGTGGAGACTTACCCTCAGGCAGTTTACGACTGCCGCAGGTTGGTCTGGCATGGTCACTGTGTAGGCCCTCTTGAACATCCTGGAATAATGCAATGTTTATGCTGAGTTCAGTTAAAGTTCAGATGTTGACACTGTGCAGCAAACTTGACTCAGGAGCTCTTTACACAGATCCTCTAACGTCTTTATCTGCTATGGAAAGACGTTTGAGAGTAACAAGGAGCCCATTGTAGCTGTGTGTGTTTTCTTAAGTTATTGCAGTAACAACACTGTATGAGCAAATGTTCAAGCTGAAGTGCCTACAAGGAAATCAGTCTTTAGCAAGGGCAGTTTTATTGTGTATAATGTTTGTCTCAGTATGAGTCATGTAGCTGAATGAATGTGTCTGCTGCTCTCCCACAACCATTCAGTGTGACATCCCGTCAAGCTCACATTAAGCATAACTAGAACGAACACATCCACTTTACCTCTCCACAAATATCCCAGCTTGCACTGCGTGCACAATGCTGCGAAACTTGGGCTTCTCATCGGAGCGACGCAACGGTCGTCGAACCCTCTGCGTGAAGGTGGTCGCCAGCCAGTCAGTGACCTCCGATGGCACTCCATCTGACTGTAGCTGCTGAAGATCATCTTCAGTCTCCAGACACTGCCTGTGAGAGACGCTTACAGTTAGAGGGAAAGAATGACTCTTGTAGTGAGTGTGCCTGTGAATGGTTGGTGGTCCCTGAGTGGCCATGTGGAGGACTCGGAGAGCTGTCAGGGCTGCAACCTGCCTCTCACCGGGAGCAGCCGGAATAGACTGTAGCCCAAACATCCCTAGATTGGTTTAAGCCTTTCTGTGAGGAGGTTGCATGTTCTGCACGTCTTGGCTTAGGTTCTCTCAAGTTACTCCAAAGTCCTCCCACAGTCCCAAAAACTTTTTTTTAAGACAATGGTGACTTTAAATTGCCCTTTGGAATTTAAGGGTGTGTTTGTCTCTGTGTGGCTCTGTGATGGGTATGGACTAGTCAAAAGTCCAGGGTGTACCCCCCTTCCCAGTAACACCCCGGGCTCTAGCACCACAGAATCGTGCTGGGAATAAGTACTTTGCGAAAAGGATGGATTGATGGAAGCTGGGAAGTAGTCATCCCCAGATGAACAGGTCAGCACCGCTGTTCTGGACTGATCTAAAGGATATCCTCTGAGAATGGACAGCTACAACTTACCGATGTGTGAGGCAAAGGCTTCCTTTGGTTATTTGGTGCAATTAAAAAAGTATTTCTGAAATCGTTTGGATTGGCTCTCAGATGTACCAGAACAAAGCGTGTTGCTACTTGTTGCATTTGAGTCTACACATCTGCCCAAAAGTTAAAAAGAGGTTTGAGTGATATTTTTAATTAGACAGGCATCATCTGAGAAATCACATTAAACAGCAGTGTGAGAATTTAGCCAATTGCTCTGCAGGCAAAACGTGGTTCGTTGGTTTACTGCGAGATTTTACCGACAACGTTTCAATGTAAGAACTTATTTAAAGCAGCTCCTTCAAGTTACAGCAGTGGTCTCTTTCATAAGCCCAAACACTAATGTACTGAGATACCTTTAGATGTCAGTGACTTTCATGTTCAGAGCTAGATTGACAGAAAAAGAGGGCACTGCACCATATCTCACCGGTGGATCTGTGGTCACAGCTGACCAGAGTGTGAAGTTTTAAGTAAAGTTTTAACAAAAGTCAACAAATCGGGCTCAAATTAAACTTTTTCCTTGTCATATAGCCTACTATCTCTTGCCTATAGTACAATTACTAAAGCATCATCAGGGAATGATTCTTGTTTTCTACTCATCAAATCATTGCCTAAAAGAGGCATCTTGAGATGTCTCATTGCACCTTCGGGGAAGTTGCGATATATTCTGTGGTCAGAGTGCAGACTATAGTTTGAAATCTCTCAGCACATCTTTCTGAAACAGATATGAAAGGAAGTTTCAGGCAGACTGATTTCTTGAAATTTGAACCCTTAAATCGCAACACGGATTAAGTATCTGTTGCTGTAACTTTGCATGAGAATGACAGAAATGTTTTAGAAAGATGGAATAACATGTTAGAAAAACATCATATTTCTATGTTTGTTAGTGAATGGAGCGGTGGCAGCCTGCTGTGCTTTAGCCATATTGAGACTTTCTTTTAATCTTTTTTGAAAATTTTCTGTGGAATCTTTTCTTTGAGACAGAAACATCTGTCACCACTGATTTGGATGCTGTACCAGAGGAAGGATTTCTGTTGATAACCACTTTATTCCACCTGTCATGAAGTATAAACTGTGGAGAGGCACGTTTAGATTTAATAGAGCTTTCTAAAGTCCAAATGATCAATGGCATAGGATTTCAATTTCAGATCATTGTCAAGGAGATTAAGATTGAAGTGTGGTTACCTTTCTCAAAACTAGTGTTTATTCATAGACAGTTGGCCCTGTTCTCTTACCACCAGTTGAATGTAAATACAAGCCTTGATTCTTTTTTAGACGTTTCTTGTATTATTGTTTTACCTTGATCCATCAAGGTACACTGCCTCCAGTAATGACGCCGTGAAATCCAGATTGTTTTTGATTTCTTCAAAATCGACATCCTTCTCCTCCAGCTGCTTCAGCATACTCCTGAGCCTGTAAACACAGTCATTGTAACAGATGTGATGCAAACTAAAACAACACTGACTGTATCAGCAGCAACGGGAAAGTTTACAGGTCACTAGAGTTCAGAAACAGCATTCTGGATCAAATGACATTCAAAAAAGTATTACATTGCTATGATTAATTGAAAAAAAGCAAACTCGATAAGATTCGAAAAACTGATTTGTATGCTTTAATAAACCCTGGTAAAGGACAAAGTTTCATGAATTAACAGCACTTGTCTTTGACAGTAGTGAGAAACATGTAACCCTAGAGGTTAGTAAAGAATCCCCTCTGAATAGAAATCAATCATTTGAAAGAGTTATACATTCCAAGCTAGCTATAAAAAAAAGGAATGAAGAGGAAAAGTTCCCATTTTCAAGATGTTATGGAACTGACAAAAAGTAAAAATACACTCAGGATGTTTTGGAGTTCTGAGAACTCATTTTCTAATCATCCCTTTCAAAAGTCTTACTGATATAAAGAAAATTGGAAACATATTCACCCCATGTAACGTAATATGAGTGTTTGAGGCCTGTGTCCTCCACAGTGTAATCCACCTTCTCTGTGATTCAAAAACTTTCTTGAAGTAAAGAATTGCAATGAATAATGTCACCTCATGTTTATGAGAGCCACTCAGCCTCAGCTGGGTAATGTTTTTGTCTGTCTAAGACTGAAGAATTCATGATACAACAGCATATTTGTGTCACAGATGATTTTTCGAAAACATTTTGATTGAGCCGCCCATATGGTGTTCAAACTGCGTAAGGTCACGCTGTGGAGCCAACTCCTGGGGATGAGACACTCACAGCTTTTCAAGTGTTTATCACGTTGGCAAGGGCTTTCAAAAGCTGTTGTGTCATAAAAATAGCATGCATCAGAATGTCACCGCTCATTTTCAACTTCAAGTAATCTTTCATGATAACACAGTCTTTTTTGTTTCAAATGTTTGGAGTTAAAGAACCTTTGATGGGACATGCACAGGAAATTACCCATCGAGCCTGCTTGTATGGCTCCATTTATAGGGGAAAAAAAGGCAAATCTTCCTGTGGATTACACTTTGTTGAATCTGCACACTCTACATTGTCATTTTCACCAAGCATATATCAGAACATTGCTGAAAAGGACTGAATGGCACATTCACTGTCAGCACAAATATTTTATTCGACTTTTTTTCGCCAATAGATTGAGAAAAAAAAAGTCAAATGTGTTACAATTTATCAAATTGTGTCAAATATTGATATTAATTACATCCCGACACAAAAGTAAAAAAATCTCTAACCCCTGCAGACACCAGTACATGAATTTAAGCAAAACAAAACCACATGACCCACCACCTCTGCAACACTTTTCCCTCCCACAGGGAAAGCATGAGCAAAACAAGTGTGTGTGAACACTCACATAGAGTAACAGTTCTTTACTCTCATGTCAAGATCCACAGTAATGTAGACATGATCTTGACCTGTTTTTGCTGTCATCTGTGCATTGCATTCTTTACACTGCAAGGAGCTTTATCTGCTGGGAGATCTAGACTAAGGTTTCTTTTTGACCAAGACATTTTCACTTCATCAAAACCAGAAAGACACCCACACAGAAAATGCAACATTATCTAAAAGAGCATAAACGTAACATGTCTGATGAAGTCCTCCAGTCTCTTGTATGCATTCGATTAGAGGCTCAAAGTGCATCAGACAAAATTCTATCTGCACCGAACCCACATCTTACCTAGAGATGGGTATCTGCAGTTTTTTCTTGCGGATTCGGACCAGTTCAGCCATTCCACATTCGAACCGTGCTCTAAAGGACCCCAGAGTTCAGAAAAAAAGATCAAACAAAAAAGCAAGAAAGAAACAAGAAAAAAAAGAAAACTATCTCTGAAAAGGAATTAACTGAAAAGTTCTTCAAACCACCAACGCAAACTTTATGTGTCCTGAGACAGTTTCAACAGCTCTCTCACCCACTTCTGAGGGGACCTACTCCACTTCTCTCTGATTGGTTAGGCAAACCCAAACTGTGTCAGTTCGTGGACATATGTGTATGTGTGCGTGAGGCAGAGAGAGAGAGAGAGGGAGAGAGAGAGAGAGAGAGAGAGAGGGCTGCTGTGTTTGTCAGGGAGTGAGTGTTTGTATATGTGTACACTGGTTGTGTGAAGTGTGAGAGAGTTGACCTCACTCGCTGATGAAGTGATGACTGCACGCCTTTCAAACCGTGTGTACCCAAATCTTAAATGAGAATTTTCCACCGCAGTCACAAGGCAGGGAACTACACAGAGAGACTTTCACTGAAGCCCACCACAGTTTCTCAATCCAAAGCACACAAACAAAACTTGCCCAAGAAAACCATCCACAACAAACTAATAGTTTAACTCTAGTAGTGCAAAGAAAATGTCTTGACTATCAAACTGATCAAACGGTTGAAGCACAATAACAGACCCCATACGTAACACTTCCCTCATTTTTAACAGCTCAAAGTTTAAATACTATTTTCAGATCATACTTAATATTAACCTCAATACATACTACCTAAATATAATAAAATTTCTCTGAACACCATGTGAATAGCGGTCAGATCAGAATTTCAAGGTAATAAAGAGAGCAAGTCTGGCCAAAAAGTCTTCAGTCCTTTGAGGTGTCTTTGGTCTAAGATCAGTGGAGACAGTAAAAGTCTTTCCTGAACACTTTTACAGCTCTAGGTCCAAAATCTATTGCTAGTCTTTATTTATAGTATTGTGAGAGCTGTGTGACAACGTGGCTTGGGAAATCCCCTGCCTGCTGTCCGTCTCCCTCCTTGCTTTTGGGTCAGACCAACTCTCATGCTCCCATGCTCTTTGACATGACACAGCATATAAAAATGAGATGTAACATTAAGACATATGATGAATAAAGCAACTTCTTCCACTGTAGAAATAGGTATCCCCATAAATAGACATACGCCCACATTTACACTGAGATGCAATTAAGGAATGTTTTCATTTCTAGTGCAGGAGAACTGTTTGATTTAAAGTCATACTGGTGCTTAATTAATTTCTACCATCCATAGGTCATCTGTGATGACAATCCACATACGTTGTCTAATCTCTCCGTCCACCAAGTGCCTTGAGCTACATTTTACGCGTAGACACTGCAGAAGGGGAAACTTAATTCTTTAGCTACCATAAATCAGATCCAAATGTTATTCATGTCTGCATGGGAACTAGACATAAGAGACACTAAGGATATTGAGATGCATAAGGTTTTTTCAGAATTTTTAGTATCAGGTAGCAGTAAAACCAGTTGTCGCATTTCATATGCCGACAAAGCACATTGTGTTTTTTTGGGTTAATAATTCAACATGAGTGGACGTTGCTTAAACCCATTCAATAGAGTCAGAAGTCATCCAATATGCCACTCTGCCTGGTCAGTGCAATTCCATTGCAGTATGCTTCCTTTTGCATTCTAAATTCACAGGAATTTCAGGCAAAAAGCCCAGAGGCAAACCTTTCCCAAAAATACACTTTTTTCACATGTTTTTTTGCCACTTACACCAAAACACTTGATGTATTGAGTAAGTAAGAAGCTAATTTGAATGGGAAAATATAAAGAATTGATTCATTGCTGTCTCTCTTTGAAAGAGATTGATAGAATGAATGTGTTTTATTTTTCTTGAGCATGTTAACTTAACACAAACTTTCTTACTTTATAACGAGATGCAATCTTGAAAAATATACATTGAAATCAAATACATACTAAATAAAACAATTTTAAAAGTCAACAAGACCAAGGGATTATTTCTAAAAGAGGGAGCAACAGTTGTTTCACACCAATTTCACAAACATTAGTGTTTGTATTATTACAATCCACAGCCCTCACCATGGACATGTGTATTTTCAAAACATTCTGTTTGCCGTTACAGTGTCCCATTAACACATTTCGGCTGTATTAGCTGCATACATAGGCATTGATAGGAGGACCTATGTCCACAGCTATCAGAAAGATCCTGAAACATTATTGTATAATACTCACACTGTGTGTCATACAGGCAAACAAAAAAGAAAGTGAACCACAGAATTGAAATTTGTCCATTACGTATTTGGTGCCTATTGCATCTCTACAAAATATATAACACTTTTATTTTTTTGTAATTACTAAATAGCAAAAAGTTTAGAATACTTTGCCTGACAACATATATCATTGCAATGACACATAACAGCCTGCTTGCACAGACAAGGATCCTATTTCAATGTAAATATTGAAAAAGTGCACATCACCAGTAAAGATAATCTCATATTCTCTGAGAGGGAAACACACAAGGACTGCAAGTCACACCATGAATATGAGCAATGACAGATAGCACTGTCATTGCCTGAATGGAAAAATGTCACATAAGTCAGAAATAATGACCATCGTATGCTTCACATAACTGAATTTAATTACTGTCAAGCAAAAGATTAAAACGTTCAAGAAAGTCTTACCGTTCCAGTGAGGCTCTCCACGTTAAAGTAATCAAATTCTTATCAGCAATTTTTTGCATCTTACACGGCGTCATTACTCCTTGCCTGTAACACTTCTGAGGATCATGCAAGTGTATATTTGCAAAGGAGAGAAATACAAAAAGTGTATACCTCAGTGTATCACTGCAAAGCCAACAGGTGTGACTATTTGAATGTGTGTATACAACTGCCGTAGATCATCTTTTTCACTACTCTCACACACACACGTAGCCCCCTTGTGTACTTCGCAGTGTGTTGGGTGTGCGTGTATTCCTTGGTGCTTCACAAGTCAGCAGAAGAGGTTTGCGTCAACAACACAATCAGCAGCGAGTCCTTATATCGGGACTAGAGTTTCCACCTGTGACTGCCCTAAGGGTCTGGGGACAGGGTCCACAGCGGAGCTCCAGGAAGAGAGCTCACATGCACGCAAAGCTGCACATGCAGGAAGGATAACAGAGCGTCACTACTACTAATCGCACCAGCAATGGTAATAATCAAGGAAAAATAACAGTAATCTTCATCAAAAGTTATTGTTTTGCTCTCAAGAAAAGATCCAAAAAAGTACTGTTAAGACTAAACATCCTATAACTTTGATTTATATATGCTTCGTGCAAAAGTGCCACGGTCAACATTATCTTGGTATTTCTTAGTACCGTATATATGATATATAAGTGTATATCTGTACATTTTATTACTATATTGTCACACTTTAAGTGATAGCATGATATTTGGTTTCTGGGGGAAGTTGTTTGGTAGTATAATATAATATATTATCATGATATAAGAAAATATCAAATTAGATAATGACAACACAGCCGTTCTCCTGGCAGAAATAGAGAGAGAAAAAATCTGTTTAAAATCTTTTAACAAAATAAAGTGTCTCACATAAGGGGAGCTTGAAAGGTTTGTTGGTGCTTAATGGGAGGCATGATGTAATAAGAATGAGCACATCTCCCAAATGATATGTGACTGCTCCTTAAGAAACCTATGAAAAAGGGGAGTTTATAAATTTGAGAACACTTTCAAATGTTTTATATGCTCTTGTTATATTTTGATATCTCACTTTGATTCCTCATATACACACCACCAAAAATGACTAAATTACTACAGCAACTTTGTTTACAATTTTTCATTGTTATTCATTCGTGTGGTTGCCAGGCTCTCTAATTAGTTTGTTCATGGATAATCTTCTGTGTATTCATGCTAATCTTACCTGCAGAGGGGAATTCAACCTCTTGTGCCTTCAAGAGCAGACTCAGCCTATGAAGCTGAAACCATTCATACAACTGGTGTGTAAATGCACTCAAATAATCTACATAAATGGGTGTAAGCATCAGCAGTGCAGCAGCCAGGCAGATACACTACAGCTGCAGCACAATTTGAATGAGAAGGGAGGAGACGGCAGAGAAAAGAATAAAGGAAGAAGGGAGCTGGCAGGAAAAGATAATAGTGAAAAGGGTTGCCTAAAATTAGACACAAGCACTTTCGCTTCTGTAAAAGTGCAGTGCATCATATAAATTGTTCATGAAAGACGCGGAAAAAGACTCTACGATAAGGAGTAGGACTGGGAGGGTAGTGAGGGTGGATGACAAACTGGAAATAAACGGGGTACACAAAGCAAAGCAACATGTCGTCTCCATCTTTATTTCTGGTAAATTTAAAGAAATAACAACCATTTCACACATATAATATATTGAGATCTGAATGAAGTTTCCAGTGCAAATAAAAATGATCAAACATTCATTTTCACTGGTTCCGTCCATTCCTATGATGGTTTTTAACATTAAAATTATGCACAAGATGTTTCCGAAAAGTCTGTCTGCTTTAAATAATTCAAGATGATATTTTACTCTTCTAGATATAACTGATCTGTAGGACTGGGAGGAAGAGGGAATAAATGCAAGTTAAAACTAAGTCATGAAGCCAAGTTAGTTAACCTCCAAAGCTGAATGGCATTAACAAAAAAGGATTGCACATATTTAAATACTTTTTCTGTTGGATACATAAACTCCTCATCCCAGGGTAACAATGAAGGCCCTGTGCACCTCCCTGTAGGCGTTTCGGAGGAGAACGTATGGGAAGCAGCTCTCCAGCATGTCTTGGCTCAAGAATGAAGACTCCTCCACAATCTAGATGAATCAGTGTAAAAAAGCAAAAAAATATTTTACGATTTTCAAGGATTTTCTTTGACATGATCAAAATATCTCCGTTCACATTCACTACGTAATTCAAAAACATTCAAATCAAGCAGTAAATGTATGAGACAGAAAAAAAATCATTACTAAAATGTTCGTGTAATTGCCAAGTAAATTCATCTGCGTATTCTGGGGAGCCTACCATGTGCAGGAGCAGGTAGACGGACTCTCTGTTTTTGCTCTCCACCCTCTCTACGTTTTGTCCCAGTTGAAGCAAAGTAGAGGAGGCCAGCTGTGGAATTATAGGGAGTTAAAAAGAGACAAATCAAACAACCAAATGCTTTCACGATGCTGGTCATGACCTCAGCTGGGGCAAAAGGTTGGCAGTGTCTTGAGAAAGCTCTGTCACTGAAATATTATCTGGCTAGTTTACCCAATAAAAAGAATCGCATTCATCACTTTAGAAAAATATTCCATGTGAGACGGTCATCTATCAAAACGCTCACGCTTCACACCCTATAAGTAATATCCAGGTGTTTCAATGGTTCAACTATGTGATTTTCCCACTCAAAGCTCTTTTATCTGAATCATTTCTGAAGAGTTGGTGTTACTCCTCTTACCAACTTACCAATATTTCACATAAAAAAGACATTGAAATCAACTTTGTTTCACTAAAATATTGCATGTCGACATGATATAAAAAGAAGATTAATCGGAATAATCAGTTTATTTAATTGTAAACACTGTGTTTAAAACTGAATTTCATTTTAACAATGGCTTGTTATCTTGTCCAACCTACTTTTTTTCACATCAAAGTGTTTGGTACTCACCAGGAGAAACTCTTTGAGCTGCTGCTCAATGTTTTTGTTCTGAACGGTGAACATGGCTGCAGCCAGCTGGTTAATGGCTGTGGCTAAACAGTGGATGTTGTTGTTGTGGCCTAAGAAAATAAAAACGCAAAAACCATCACTGCAGAAAAGCATGTCCTGTACTTAATCCTCAGAGAGGATGTTTTTGTGGCAGGAGCGATTGGGCAAATTTATTTAATGATGTGTAACACTTAAGAGGAAGCACGTTGAACATATTTCCTCAGGCTCACAGGCTTAATTTATTTCAAATATGTCAATGGAAAGTAAAGGCAGAGAAAATAATCTGTAACAAACACCATTTTATGCTCTGATAGAAATCTTGGCTGTTTGCTTCTCTTAATGTTTCAGTCTAGGCTCAGTGCCAAGTAGTTAGGGTCAGAAGGGCCACATGCCAAGAGAAACTGCATCGATGCACGTCAGCCAGAGTTATCTGTAAACAAATGTCTCTCAGCAAAAACGTGTTTCTCATTAAGCAACATGCTTTGCTTTGGACCATGTCAGACTGGAAAGTATGATGCTAGTGTTTCAGGGTGGAGTAGCTTTTTTTTTTTTTATCCCCTATCAGGAGCCGAACAAGTGATTAGTGTTTGGTTGTGGGCTGTCTGGAGACTAATTACTGTCAAGCAGAGTCTGTGGCCGATGAAATGAGCAACTGATTATGCACCTCCATGCTCACGGCTGTAGAAGGAGTTGGGGTCCAGAGCCAACGTAGGCAGGGACACAGCGATAAATACGAGCAGCAAACGCGACAGCTTGAACTCTTCATCAATTGACGTGTTATCTGAAAAATACGAAAATCCATCCTGTGTTATTGTGGTATGTTGTGTTCAATACCACCTCTTGTGGATCAAGTTTTACCTGTCTGCATGCTTCTGATAGCTGTGACCAGGGCAGGATCTATGTCACACTTCAGCCCTGCAGCGGAAGCCAGCTCAAAAATGTCCAGAGTCACCTGTAACATCATAAAATAATTACTGACCTTTTTTTTTTAACCTTTTAAAATGGAGGCTCTCTGAGGTTCTAATTTAATTATTTTCTTGAATTCAGTGTGCAAGACCACAAATCAAAAACAGCAGAGGGACAGTGATGTAATTTAACTTGCTTGAATAATATCTAATATCTGAATAGTGTCTTTTGTCTTGACACAAAACTATCTCCGTTTGCAGGCATGATTGGCTTGTCTGGGCAGACAGTTTCTATTGATGTGGCTTAGAGAGCAGAGTTTTGTGACTGTGATCAGAGACTCTCTCACGGAGGCATGAGGGGGCTGCTGACGTCTTTCGGGTTATCCTGGCCCAGGCTGTGGCACGGCTGTCATGCCTCACTCAAAAACCAGACGTAAGTAAAGGGAGGGAGAGTTCATGAGTCACAGTCACACAGATTACTCCAGAGGGAGATAAGGAATTTAATTTGGTGGGTACTGAAGAGCTGAAAAATATTGTTTCTTTTAGGCTGCCAGACTCAGAGACTGTTGAATTCTGCATGATCTTCAGGCATAAATATCCACCATACATGCACATGGTGCTTTCAGTCTCAAAGGGTGAATATTCATTTGGATGTAGAGCAATTCCGCATATGTTGATGATTCCCATGAAAATGTGAACCAATAAAAATAAAATGTTAATAGGCTATCAAAAAGCCGTAATATGCACTTTCATTCCACAGTGGGATTTCTACATCTGAATGCATCCTTAAAAGGCAGCTTAGTTCAGAACATTTGTGCTTACCTGAATGTCAGTTTCAGGGGGGACAGAATCTCTCAGGCACTCAATGGGTCCCATCAGGAAGGGGCAGTGCTTGTGTAGGATCTAGATTGTGGTCAAAGTAAAAGTCAGCTTCAATGTCAATTTGGCAGTTGTACACAGATAAATTAAGTAATTTAGATTACATGACTCTCATGGCAATAAAGTGGTAATATAATAGAAAAGAGACACAGAGACAAACAACCACACACACTCACATTCATTCGTTGGGGCAATTGAGTTTTTTGCATAGTTGTAATGTATTAGTCCTATCAGAGGGAAAATCCTTGAAAAAAAAAAGATTATTCTAAGTTGAATTTTTTTTTATTTTTATTAGACTTCGATATTCAAACAGGCCTTTTCAGATCCCTTTCTATGTGTGTTCCTAAATAAACATGGTTATGTTCATATTTCTATAACATATATATATGATTCATTCATACCTTCACTACATACATCTAAGTATTTGTTTACATTACAAAAGTAATAAACATTGAATATTACATCTTTTAGGCACTCCTGTGCCATTGATCTGAAGGATAGGATCACTCCAATGATGGTCATCCTCTTCAAGACGTTCTCACATCCTGGGAGTGCATTGAAAAGAGTCAGTGTTTAATTCATTATGTACACCTCAAACCTCAACAGAGTGTTTTCTGGGAAATGCCTTCGAATGCAACATCGTGACAAAATATCTTCTGTTACTGCACAGTATATATTCATTCAGAAGTCTTTGCCTGTTCACATGCACACTTGTGCCCGGCCTCTGTTGCTGTGTACTACTTGAAAATGAAACATAGCCTTGAATAAAGTACAATCACCTAGATGTAAAAGGATTTTCTTTTCCATCCAGCCAAAAACACGCCATAATTAAAAGAGAAATATAATTACATGATTTCAAGAGAAAATCTTAATTAATTATCAAACATAAGTGATCACATAAAGTTTGATGGGTAAAGAGTTTAGCGCCTTTGAAAAAGTAGCAGAACAAAAGTAAAATAAATACCATTTTGCTTTAACCCCCATCACGAATAAACCATTGGTTTCACCAATGATTTCAATGGATAATCATAAGATAAGTTTTCAAGTGTTCAAGTTTAGTTCAGACAGCCAAAGTTTAACTTTACAGAGATAAGTCCAAAATCACTGTGGCCTCCACATTAGAGTAAATTATCTATAGAACTCTATCACTTGTTCCTATAATTCCTGTCTGTTTCATGTTCTTCATTCGAACTTTGCACATTGTTCCAGACCTATATATGTCTGTTTTCCTCTTCAACTCCAAACAACCTTTTGCCTCTCCTCCCCTCTCCCCTCTCGCCTCACTTCTCACCTGTCAGCCTCTTCCTCAGTTTTTCCATTTCCTCTGGCTTGTCAAAGTTGTTTTTCATCTGAACCAGGATATCCATGTGCTCAATCACCATTTTCTGACGGAAGAAAAGGGAATGAAAGAAATGAAAAAATCACCTTTAGCAGTGGCTTGTAATGGAGTGACCACAGTTGTGACAGGTCCGTCTGGCACTTATTCCTACAACTCTACATTTCAATCACAGGTGTCAAAGTGGGGAGTATTATCTGCTCTCTTACACATTAAAGCTATTCAATGAATACTGAAAAGGAGTTTTCTTACAAAATAAGATGCTGACTTAATTAATTCTTATGAAATTAATTCTTATTAATTAATTCTTTTAACTGGACTTTTATTCTTGCAAAGTAAAATTTCTATAAAATTCCAACTATATGTATCCATTAATATCCGTATATTTGTCGATAGGTTTTTTGCTTGTTGTTTCACACAGCAACTTTAACAATATGCAGAGCAACTGATCGGAACTAAAGTGGAATTTTCAATAAAAAGTATATGTATGTTTTTCAAGTTTAATCCCATCAAAAAACGATATACTCCAGTATGCCCATTGCATCAAGCTGTATTATTCTTAAAAGCAGGGTGGTAGCTCATTTTAGCTTTGCATCAGCAGAGAAGTCAAAGTGTAACTCTGACCTTGTTGAAAGTAAGATGCCATTAAAGATAATAAGCTAACCACGGTAACTTGGCTATAACTATCATTAGCTAAGAATAGATTTGATTATCTAGCTTGAGATTGCTTATTACATCAATGGTTATATATTCGTAAAGACACCATTTATTTCATACAGTACCTTAAGCTCGCTGATTTGAGAGGTTATGTGCCACATCAGATTTTCACCAAGAAACTTCAGGCCATATGGACCAATTAGCTCTGCAAGGGCCTGTAATTCTGTTCAAAGGATGACATGAACACGTAAAGGATCATGGTGATTAGAGAGACACCAAAGGGAATACATTTGAAGTAAAGCTAGATTGAAAATATACTTTCAGTTCACAGTTTCATTCTTTAACAGAATTTTAAAGGATGACTGAATGAAACCAATGAGAGAAGATAGTCAGAGGGTGCGGCAGAATCATTGAACAGAGAAAGCTGCAGGTATTAAATGAATATGGATGGGCAGGGACATATGTGGATAAAATCTCAGGTTTTTACCAGACTGGCTGATGAGCCTCTGTGAGCTCAGATACCTCTCTAGAGAGGTAAATATAGAAAACATTGATAAAAAAAATAACACGCAGAGGCCTGTGAAGTGCTGAGGTCTCTCTCTGACGAGTGCACAGTGCTCACGATTGTTCGTACATGCATGAGCCAAAATGTGCAGGGGAATGAACACAGCCTTCTAAAAGAGGGCCGCTGCTCGTTCAAGGCTGTGCGGAGGTGGAACTGCAGGCAGTGTGGAGGAGAGACACAAGTGATGCCGGAATCGTTCTGAGCTAGAAATGGAAGGGCAGGGAAGATCATACGCAATGCTAAAGTTTACATAAGCAGGGCAGTGTAAGAATAAACTGCAGCGCTAGTGATGGGAAAGAAAACTGCATACCACCGCCAACACAACCTCCACACCCTCTTAAACAACAACACTCTGACTGCATTCATAGCACTGACAGATATCCACAAGATACCTTTTTCTTAAAGGAAGTTCTTTTTTTGGACTTGTGTGCTCATGATAACAAAGGCATCCAAACAGAGGATTATGTTCAAGTGTAGAATTCTGTATCTGCAAAATATTCACACTCACTTACTCTCATTAACTACCCATGCATACATTTCTATCAGGGAAAGCTGGCACCAGGCTACATCATAAAATATGAATGGACTTTACATAATATGAAGACATTAGTATGGGCAAACCTGTGTACTTACTGCACAGCAAATGCTCAAAAAGTCAGATCTGTTGCTTCTGAATTTAGATTTTATAAGTCACTGACAAATGTGTTTTGAATCATTGTAGCCTAACATACAGTAAAAATAGAAAAATAATTGTATTCTTAAATTAATTTCTTTTTTTTTAAATGTGTGGGGGAGCTGACCTGAAACATCTGAGAACTGCTCTGCTCTGAAAGTCGGCTCGGTGTCAGTGCTCTGGCTGACAAAGCATTTCATCGTAGGACAGTGGACAATTAGGGAGTTGCTTGCCTGACGCAAAAGACCCTCCAGATACCTGTTGAGTAGAAAATTAATTAAAAAACTCAGAAAAAAAATCCTCAGCCTTAACAGCTAATTTATCTAATGCTAAAACAATTTTCGAAATCACTTTGGGCAAGTAACAGTGCTTCCTGGACTACATTAATTTGTGTTTCCTGTATGATTCTGCATATGGTAATTATGCTGTAATAATAGAAATGCAAAGTGGATGTATATCTATACATCTATAGATAGATAGATATATAGATATACACATGTGTATGGACAGAGAGAGAGAGAGAGCAGAGAGAGAGAGAGATTAGGACACTTTTAAATGGACTTATCTGCCACACCCACCAGTTTGTGTAGAGGGTTGTGATTGTCTGTCCTCCACGGGAGTCCAATGGCTGTGTTTGCTGCAGCAGGACACTCTTTACCAGCCGTGTGACATCCATATTGATGTAGCTGGAGAAGCTGTGCAGGTTGGCTGTGTAGGCTCTTATCCCTGCCAGGAGGTCAGAGGGCCGGGCTATCTCCTGGGTGGTCTGGTTGTAATTGGCCATTCTCACGATGATCCTGAAGGAACATGTTTAAACAATGTCACTTGTCACCGGTCCCTGTGTGGACAGATGGGACCTTAAAGCGGGTTTAACGAGCCGCAGTAACTTGGCACTACTGGTCAGACTAGCACATCCACTGCTCCGGGGCTTCACTGGAGTCTTTCATTTTTTTCATAAGGCCTTTCATTCCCTCTTTTTCTCTAAATGACTGTTTTTAGAATTTGGCGCAATCACTGAGAGCATGCAGCTACTTTGGAAGAATGTCTTTTGAAAAGAACAGAACATTTGAAAAGAGACATTAAGTTACATTATGTTTGACTGAAGTGACACAATGCTTAGTTTTTCAGTGGGTGTAACACAACTTGACATGACAAATCAGAAAGCTAAGCTCACTTCATCACAGTGTAAACACATTTTATGAGAGTCAAACTCTACATTAATACTTTTGATTGTTGGTAGGCCAGAAAAGGGAGGGAAAACCACTCTGTTTAACTAAAGAAGGTGAGTGAGACAAAACTATTTTTCAGCTTTCGTTCAGCAGATCAGGCAACTCAGCATGAACACGTTCATTGCGCTTTTGTAGGATACAATCAACAACAGGAGTGGAACTCTTCTTATATATACAGACAGATATTAACAGTCAGTAATGTGTATTTACAGATTAATAAATCTCCTTAACAGCATGCCCATTCTACAATGAAAGGTATTTGTGTTGATCTCTGAGCTGTACATGAGAGCGACAAAACATGTATCATTATATATTTTCTTTATCTGTGGGATTTACATAATCCACGCTGTTATGAGAAATACAGGTACCCCCCGCCCCATTAGCATACTCAGAGAGGCGTGTCTCCAGCTGAGAAAGGACGAACTCTGTAGGAACGACAATGTGGTCAAAGACGATCATGTCACCGCAAAGACTGAAGGAGGAGCAGAGCTCTGTCAGTGTCTGATGCATCTTGTCCACACTAGGAATAAGAAAGACAAAATAAACAAAGTTTCAAGCTGTACAGGAAAAGAAAATCTCCTAATAAAGACAGGGGGTGGGGGGTGGGGGGTCTGAGAGGAGGAGAGACAGGAGTACGACAGTTCAGACTTAATGAAGGAGCAGTGAGGCCATATACAGAAAATGACCTAACCATGACAACACATGAAATTGAATAAGGAATAAGGAATGGTGTCGCATGAGTCTCTGCCCATTTGAGAAATTTCATTTTTAACCTTTGCTGGCCCCATTTAGCACCTGTCAACCTTGACAGGCTCAGTATAAGATATGATGCTTTTTAAAAAAAACAAATTATACCTGGTGGGCAAGACTATTTTCATCTTGACTTTCTATCAAAATAGACCAAAAACAGAATTTTGCAGAGATTATTTAAAAATTGTAATTTGGACATTTGCAGAGGAGCATCCTCATCATCATTTAAAAAATCCTTATCCAAGAACACTACTTATATCAATTAAGTTAAGTCATTAAAGAATTTGTTTTAATGAATGAACAGCATCGGTTTCAAACTTTTACCCTAAACCTTTGGTGGATTTTTCTTTTGGATCAACACAAACTTGTACAACTTAATCTTACACTGTGAACCAATAAGTTTGAATTGTAGAAGTTGTCTTGATAATGCATGACATTTAAAAATAAATCAGGAATTCATTCAACCCTCAGTCTAAGATCAACATGATATGCCACATTTATGTGATGATAATTAAGGAAAATGAGGAGAAGTACTGACTTGGTGGACACGGTCCGGTCTTTTCTCAGACTCTCAGCACCTGGCTTCTCTTTCTGGACCTCTCCTTTTTTTGGCATTGGTTTCTTTTGCTTTCTGTGGCGAGCAGCGCTGATGGACTCGGCACAGTGCTTGGGCAGCAACTGAATGTTTGTTTATTAAAAAGATTTCATGTAAAGCAGGGGGGGAAATTCGAAAAGACAGAGAAAAAAATATTTTAGCTTCGGAAGAATGTAATCCAGGCAATCAAATGCAGTGTAGGTTCCACAAAGAAAAACATCTAATGTTTTTCTTTTTTTTTAATGAAATGGTTTGTGCTAAAATAAAGAAGAGCTTTCGTCATATTTAACTCTAGGGAATAAAGAAATAACACTGGAATAATCAACTCCAGAGTTTCAGACCCTTGTTGTAACTTTATTTAAGTTCCAAAATCTGCTCACAGACTTTTATTTACCCTAATGCTGAGCTGAGGCCAGCATGATCATATTTCAATTTGGACTTGGGTAAAATGAAATTGCGGGATAATTGGTTTTCTGAAATTTGAAATGGACTCAGACTCGACCTGGTCATTGAGATTGCATTGCTCAGCACATATCTCTAAGACAACACTGGTGGTTTGCTTGGCTATCTGCTCCAAGAAGGTCACACACAGGCGCAGACTCCTCTTCTCCAATATTTCAGTCTATACACACAAACCACAACACACAGAAAACACAAGTGTGTGAAGACATCCGAATGAAAACAGGACAACATGAAAGCATTCTGTTTATGTTGGAAACAAACAGTACCAGTAACCTAATGTTGACATAGTATTTTAGTATAGTGTTTCATAAAAAAGTAAAATCAATGTAAAGTGTAGCAAGTACAGGATAACCAGTTTGAAGTGTAAGAAATAGTTAAAAGATAACTGAATACTGACCTCTTCTGGACAGAGAGGGTGTGCACACTGACTGAAGTGGGAACAGACGGAGGGGAAGGCCATGAGATAACGCTTCATAGCCATCTCCTCTTTGCACTGGCTAAACAACTTCTCAAAAGCCCGGGGGTAAAAACTAGGCAAAAGAAAAGAAGAACTTATCAAAGTTATAGGAAAAAAAGAATATAGGACAAGATAAGGGTCAGCAAGAGAAAAGACTGACCAGAGGATGGACAGGTCAGAAGTTTCCTGAAGCATTTCTTCGATGCTGTCGACCATCTTGGTGTGAAACTGAATCAGGTTCATCACCTTTGCCAAGTCAGGATAGTCTTTCAGTGGAAGAGGGGCTTTATTTACACTTGTGTAGGCCTAAAAAAAGGGAAAGTAGTTGAATTTTCTTCCTGTGTATCTAGATGCATTTATGATTGTGGGACAATTAAAGCACACACCTGTAATCTTAGCCAGTCCAGTCTAAGTGCTCTGAAGTCGAACTCTTCTTTGTTTTCCACTGGAGAAAAAAAAAACAATTAAATTTGCAATTCACATTGCATTCTTCCTTTGTTAAAAAATTCTAACATTAATTTCGTTCTGTCTACCTTGTTTCACAGAAAGAGCCGAGAGGGATGAAACAAATGAGGTCATGAGAACAGACTCCTCCTCCGGACAAACGTACATGTTCTGAAGTGGAGGAAAAGAGACTCTATTAGAGGAATAATCAATGTACTAAGAAACAGAGTTTTCTTTCACTCTCGCCAGATAAATATGTGAAATTCAAAATTCCAACCAAATTACGCATTTTTTAAACGAGTTGCACATGCTATTGTTATCTTAGGGTACCTGCATGGTGTCATTGAGCACCAAAGCATCAAACTGTGCCAGGTGCTGAACGTGGTAACGCTGAACTACATGGTCGTATTTTTTCATGAGTCCTCTCAATTTCTCCATGTGGAACAGCAATTCAGCCATCTGACTGGAAAAAGATAAATCATTAAATATTAAACCCACCCTCACTCATTCAGTTTAAGATAATTTTTCTTGTGTTTTGTTGATCAATGTAGAGAAACAAAATTTCTCTGACATAACTGACATCATACACTATGTCATGACTAATCTAATGCTGTTGCCGAGTGGGGGCTCTCAATAAGCATTAATAAAAAGTTAAAGCAAAATTATTTATGAGTTATTCACCATTTACTTCACTGTTGCTGCTTTCTAGTTGACTCATACATTTGATAAATAGCCACCAGATTTTTGTGCATGTGTATGACTGAGACATATTTCATGGTTAACATCCTAAGTACCTTTCACCTACTTGTCATTGTAGTCCTCTGGCGTTTTTATCTTTGGCATATTATCAGAGTGTCTGACAAGCCACAGGACCTCGTCCCGGGCAAATGACAGAGCCATGAAGACATAAAGAGCCTTGGAGATTTTCAAAGAACAAAAAAAACAATGTTATTAAAGAGTCCACAGCCACTGTTGGTTTGAATTAAGGGAGATTTTCGCAGGATGTAAGCAGAACCGGTTGAAAACACCGATAATGGTGATATTATGTAAATTATTTATACTACTTAAATGCATCTCATAAAAATTCTACCTTTGGTCCCAGGAGTCCAGGTTGATCATCCAGCACTTTGAATAATTCCATCAATGCTCCTCTCAGAAACTGCCTCTTCTCTCTGTGGATAGCTCCACTGGCAACATGGAAAGGGGATGATCATTTGCCCATAATAACACATACATATTACTGAATATTGAATAAAGAAGTGAAAGAGATTAAGCTATTTTACCAGTTAAGTAAAACATGCTCACGACACTCCTTGATGTCGGCAATGCGCTTGCTGTATCTGATGAAAAGAAGACATGAATAAGAAAAGAGTCAATTTTTCAGATAGATTTATAACTGTGGTGATCAAGGAGGGTCCATGTCTTTCAATTTGTTTTAAATTCTGCTCAATACTGAAGAGAGTGAAAAGTCTTATGAGAAAAACTTCCACTAAGCTGCTGTCACGTAACATTATCATTCTCATAGTCATTTCAAATTAGAAAAATATGGTCTTATTCATGCTTTATTTGAATGAAAAGCAATTTTTGATTATGTATGCATTAATATTTCCCTTTTTCCTCACACTTAAATGCTGCATTATTCCAAAACTAAAGGTTTTGCACTGCAGGAGCACATGTTGCATACCCTTTGATGCTGTCGAAGAGGTCCTCACTGACTTTGTGAATGTTTAAAACTTCATCTCGGGTGAGGTTGAGGTAGAGGCCGCTCCGCAGGGCCATCTTCCACAGCTCCTGTGAGGCCTGGTGCACATGCAGACTGGTGTGGCACAACAGAAAGCCGACTACAAGGTGGAGAAATTAGTAGCAGTTACAATACAGACACATAGTCTGGAAGCATTGTTTGTGATACTTTCATAAGTAAATGTGAATGAAGAAATCAAGAAATAATCAGCTTTTCCTTACACTGATTTTTTGGGCCAGAATAAGAAAGTGCCAAAAATAAAGTGATGCTTTTTCTGAGAAATCGTTTCTAAAATACAACTTAAGCAAGATACCTTTCATGTCTTTTCCATATTGATATATTGGCAATTATTTTCAGATTAACAGGACCAGCTACAGTTTAGGTTCAGTGTTAAAGTCAGAATTTAGCTGCAGGTCACACTTTGAGACCTATCAGGAAAGAAATACTTACTGATGATCCAGCGCTCCATCACATCCAGAGACAAGTATTCACATGCCATCTGTGATGGAAAACAAGTATCTTCACCAACAAAGCTTATATGCCCACTTCAGCAGCTAACTATGCCAGCAGGCATTGTGTCACCATGCATTGTTTGTAAAATATGGCATCCAAAGCATACTATCACTAATCTATTTTGCCTCTTTTTGCAATGCAAATGTTCAATATATTTTCAGTACACTTAATTGAGTAATTTCATGTCTCTATCTTCCCCTTCCTTTGTCATGGAAATGTACTTTAGGGAAGGTTAATGACTCACAGTGTCACAAGAGGCCGGATCCATCATGGCCGCTGGATTGCTGATCAGGCTGAGGAGCTGGGCGCTCCGCCACTGCTCTGCGGGCAGGTTTCTGCGTGGGTAGATCATTTTTAGGGAAAGCAATGCTGCTGTAACAGACTGAGACAGGCAAAAAAAGAACAAAAACAAATAAATAAAAAATCCTGCAGCAGAAATGGTAAGAACAAACAGTTTGATAAAAAAAAACAATGAGACCCTTTACTCCGGGGTGAGTTCACCTTTGTGTGGGGACCAAACTCCTCTGTGAGCTTCTTCCAAGGATGCTCATACTCAATAAACATCTGACCAAGCCGTGGATAGGAAGGGTCACTGTGAATTTCAATGTGGCATGTTGTTAAACACTGGAATAATTGTTTATATTGTTATAGTAGGATTTATAAGAATAGATAAGACTACATAATTCTGATGGCTGAAGAGATGGAAAGCTGAGATTGATTTCTATCAAGCAGAATTGTAAATAGACTGTTCAATTTGTACTTAAATACAAAGGTTTTTGATGGGCTCATGAAAACATAACTGAATAGGATAATTCATTAAAGAGCTTTAGTTGGTGTGTTATGTTCAAGTGCAAAAAACTATGGTGTGTAAATCAGATGTTGCACTGTTACTTGAATCCCATAAAAAGTAAATGCAATCTTTTGTTGCTTGGTCTCAACAACAAACAGAAACAACAGCAAATAATACATATAGTTCATTTGTATGTATGTGCTACTATTTGATGTTGGCATCTATTGTGAATTTGAATGTTTTCACCTGCTCCCATTTGTCATCTCATGGGCACAGTTGAACATCCCCACCAGAGCCTTTTTGTCATCGATTCGAGCGAGCGTGACGATAACAGAGGCGTAGGTGGTGATCAGGTCCAAGTAGTTCTTGGTGAAATCGAAGTTAAAGGCCTGAAATGAAAATGTCAGGCTCTGAAACTTTTACAACTCAAACATCCCACAGAACGTGTGTTACATTGGCACCAGAGCCGAAAACAAGATTGAAAGAAATTAAGTGTCGTAAATAAGTAAAACGATGCCACACAGTTGATACTCACAATATCAAAGAAGCATTGACAGGCATCTATGGTGTTTAGCAACTCATAAACATGGTCCTGAGGAAAATAGATAAAGGAATGGGTTTGAAAATGATGAAACATGAAATAATAAATATTGAAAATGATTCTACTTCGCTCATTCTTTTGATGGAAACTTTGAATGAAACAGTGATCATCTGTACGCCCCTACAGTAAACCTACAAATGATGCATCCACTGCCTTTCTTTAAGCAAATAAACAAATCTGAAAACAGAATAAATTTTGACTATATCTACTGACAGTAAATGTAAATCAATTAGTGTTCTTGCGTTGGAATGATCCATCTGTTTTTAAATGTGTTTCCGGAAAAAACATTTAGAGTCCTGAATATTTTTTTTATTCAACAAAAAATATAAACTCAATATTCCTCAAATCTGTTCAAGCGTGCACAGCAATCTTTCGTTATCTGATCGCTTTTTTACTACTTTTCATTTTTAATATTATGTGCTTGAAATTTGTGAAGAGAAAAAAACAATTACCCTGAACTCTTTGACATCAAGAAACGAGTCGTAGTAGCTTGCTGTGGCTGTCAGCACCTCAGACTTATGTCGCTGAATGCTGGTCAAATTTTGCTGTTATACATAGAGAAAACATCAGAGATCAGGTAAGAATTAACTGGGACTGTAACTATTAAGTATATGACATATCTAATTACTTCTTACTGTTAATGTACAGCATGAACAATAATACACTACATAAAATGACATACATGTAAACCTTGTGAAATTAAGTCTACTCACAATGCCTCCTCTAAAGTCGATATTGGGAAACTTCTTGTTTATGTATTTAACCGCAGGTTCCATGGCTTTATCTGTGAGGAAGGATGGCCTCAGCTTGGGGTCTGTACACATCTGGAGTTGAGGTGAAGAATTTAAACACAGTGTAAGTGATTATTTATTTCTTTTATAAACAATATGGTGGAAAGAACCGTTTAAAATATTTGGGGCTTTGACAATAATTATTTCATTTGTTTGAAGTAGTTCAAGTCAAAAACAGAGGAAAGCAGCCCAATCACAAGCGACACATTGGTTCTTTTTCCGTACTTCCTTTATGTCGAGTCTAACTGCTGACATGTTCTATTTTTAAAACTCACAATGTACAGCCACTTACTGTCGAAAAAATGTAAATGGCGATAGAATACTTTTTTTTTAAACTATTGTTCAAAACAGGTCAAAACCGGGTCGAAACCAGGTCAAAACCAGGTCGAACACTTGTGAGGGTAACAGAAGTGACTTTAATGCAGTGTTACAACAGTTAAGGCCTGCCCTAAAATGATCCGGCCTTGAACAATAATGAATTCACATTCAGCACTCAGCTACTTCTCTTTGGGTTTTTTTTTTTCTTTTTGCACACTGACTTTTGTTATGTGGGTGTCACTGGTTTCATTTTAGAATAACTGAAATTTTAGCAGACTGACACCACAGTCTCACTTCCTGTTTGCGCTTCCTCTTTGGAGAAGTGAGCCCTGTTGCAGTTTGGAGACAGTGTTGCACATACTGCAAAGCCAGAAATAATTTATAAACTCTTAAATTCTTTTGAATTGTAGCTTTTCAAAAAGACTTGTATTTTTAGGTGTTTTGAGTTTTTTTTTATCATAACTGCTAGCATTCCTCCCTGGAGGTATATCGCTATGTACAGAATAAGTATATTACTGGTTTCCTTTGGGTCCTTTGTTCTGTAGATGGAAAATAAGTATTTCTCTTGCTGTTGAACTGCTTAGTGGAAACAGATAATAAAAATTAATTAAAAAACTTAGTTCTTTGCTACAAAGTAGAATATATAAGAATATATTCACACTGGTTTGTAGCTTTGTACACTCTAATTATTTTTTTATGTTATTTTTCTGTTATTTATTATTTTTTTTCACAAAAAGAAAACCATATGGAATCAAAGCAGAAGTTTCCTGGGCCTCATATCCGTTACTTGTTGCCCTTTAAATATTATTTCCCCTCACCTTCTTAATGTAGTTCATACGTATCAGCACCCCGTTCCCCCTCTCATTAAGGATGGTAAGTTTTTCAGCCAGTTTCTGCTCGTAGTCCATGGCAGCGGGTAGTGAGCACCTCTCCCTCTGATCGATTTCTGGCCTCCCTGTTCTGCATGTAGCAGTCGAACCCTCAGAGACAAGCGCACCCAGAGCCTCACCCTGTCACCAGGTCACATGGGGCTTATGGTTGGAGGTGGAGCCATAAATCACTCACACAGTCTGACCACAAAAAGAAATTGTCTCATCATACTGCCGCTTTTGATGTCCTTCTTGGTTCCTCCTTCCGTCTATAAGACATGTTGAACAACAACAACAGAATAGAACTAAAGTAAAACATGGGCTTATAAAATATTCCTATAAATACTACATTATGTAAAACAGAGAATATTGCACTTTAAATAGTCATTTATAAGACTTATAAATGGAGGTGTATTCACATTTTACCACAAGATGGCAGAATTTACCAACTAAAGTTTTCTGCCGGGTTTAACTGAGTCTGAATAGCACATTCGGTAAATTTATCTCACCATGAAAACTGCCTCTGCAAAAACAGATCAGAAGAACTCAATAGAAGAGAAATATATACCAATATTATTGCTTCAGGGAAAATGTTGGTCATTTTTCAAAATAGTTATGGTATTAAAGATAATGTCCACTGCATTTCTTATTCAATTTCACTTTTTTTTTAACCTTTTTGCTTTGCCTGTAAAATCAAGCCATGTATTCTTGGTCATTTATGTTGGGGTGTTTGCAAATGGAAAGAATGAAGTGATTGTCAATATTTTAAATCATGAATTCAGAAGGAATGTGTTTACTGGTTTGAGTGTCTTTATTGAGATGCAAAGTTTTTCTTTTTAGGAAGCATATACTTTATGCACAAACTTTAAACAATTCAGGGTGCAAACAAATATGTTTGGTGACTGGACATAACGTCCGTAGTCATACAGATATATAATGTACTTTAACCGACAACCGCACTGGGTTTCTGGAAATTGGAGACTGATAATTCAGGAAGGAAAGCTTTCATATCACACAGGAAACCTTCTGAATGGAAATAAGGAGCAGCAGAGCAGTGCAAACAGTACACATCCAGCTGTTCACAGTGGTTCACAAAATGATTCTAACTAAAGACTTTGTCACGTAAACTCGAAAAGAACTAAAGTTATTCAACAACCAAGTGTTGTTTTCTGCTTCCCTTCACATGATTCCAGTAACTCCTGCTGGAATTTTGCAACAGGTTCAGTTAAAGTGTGAATTTAAAAGGACTAAAGCAGTAGTTTAAGGGAGAAGAGTTTTTTTAGAGACCCCCAAAGTACAGAGCATTCAACTAAATGATGTCTGATGTTAAGTGGAGTTGAAAAAATAATCCCTTTATTATTTCCGTCTTGGCTCAGGCTGAGAGAGCAACAGACATGTTAACAAGACAGTCGACGGAAGCAGACAGGAAGATGTGGGTGAGGGAGGAGGGGCAGAAGACGGGGATCTGTGGATGAAGTATTTCACTTTGTGAGCAAAAATGAGCAACCAAAATAAAAATCTTGCCCCTGTATAAAGAGAGAAAGTGTTGCATGAGGCAAATTTAGACTCCAATACTCACGATCTGATCCATCTACAATAAACCTAAACTGGAGAATTCTTCCTTTATATGGACAACAAATGCATGATATAGCATACAAACCAGTTTGTGGACAGACAATTGTACAGAAAAGATTTATTGAGGAGTTTGACATCCAATCAGTATGTACACAAATATGATGATCCATCAATCAAGATAGTGAAGTAAAAATTATTCCAGTAAATCTGTATTATTTAAATATTGCATATAAAACTTACAGGAAGAAAGGAACATTGAGTTTAAAAGTTAAAAGAGGAAACAAAATAAAGAGACGGAGGGTTTAGACTTCCTTTTAGTCTGTTATGGTAATAAAAGAGGAAGTGCTGCCAGCTCCGGCTGCAACCCAGATGTCAAAGGAGAAAGATGTGAACACACATGATCTGTCTAGCAATTAGATATATGTATATAAATGTGTTGATGTATAGGCTGCATTTGTTCTAACATATTCCAAACATGTATCTAAAATAGATATTCAATGTATATGTAACAGACAAAGACAGCCTCAGAGAAACTGTGGGGAAACAAATCAATGTGACTTAAAAATGCTGTTGTTTAACCCATGTGAAAACGATTGTATGTAATTGCTCATCTGTATGTTTTCAAGTACTATGGAATCAGCAAAGAAGGGATACAAAATGTGTTTTTTGAGTATACTTTGTTTTTGCAGCTCAAATGGTGTGATCCTAAAACTAGGAGTGTGTCAATATTTGCAACTAAAACCAGTTTCCACATGAGTGCACACAGGTCCTAGGAAGTTTTCTCCCCCATAAAAGGCAAGAGAGCACACGTTTATACACTAATAACTTGTATTTTAGACCATCTACACTAACAAATTATTACGGATCCATTTGATCATCACCTAAATCTATCCAGAATATGTTAAAAATCTGCCTGTTCCGATTATGACACGTGAGAGCATAAACTACAAGGTACTGCTGCCAGGAAGTGATTATTTGAATTAAATTACCTGCAAATGTCAAGTTATGCATAATGCAGTATGTACATGTGTATATAACATATTGCCACCAGCGATTTGTGTTTGATAGACACACATATTTTTTTTCAGGCCTCTAATTATGTCTTTCTAATGCACAGGCCAACAGTCGGAATTCAGTAAAACTGAAGCAGATTAACTGAAGCAGATTTGTCCCCTGGCTATGAAACACACCACTGCATCGACTTACACTTCTAATGGTTAAATGTATAGAGGAGTCGAAAGAGACAGCATTCTTCCATGGCACGTTGGGACTTGGTACGGAGACAGAAAGGAAAGCAAAACATGTATTATTATGGTCTACTGCTCTGAAGAAAAGAGTGGTATATTATTGACAAGCAGCAACAAAGTGAAGAAGATAATAAATCTTTTTACCTTTACGGTTTAAATGATTCATGGATTGCACGCAATGGGTGATCGTTTCACTCAGAATAAAGGAGGCTGATTATCATGTTCATAGTGATTTTCAACCTTATGTAAGTACAGAAACATGGCAATTCCAGGCAAATTGACAGGATCCTCAAGTAATTTTTGCACTTTAGTTGCTCGTTGGTTATATAATGACATTTCTTCCCCAAAATAACATGTTTTTCCCAAAGTAAAATGTTCTGTAATACTGACAACCAATACTGTCCAAAATATGACTGATATATGAAGGAGCATACATTTGATCTTTTTTGACAAAACCACAGTTATGCAATGAAAAATAGATTTATGAGTCGCACAGGTAGGACTTATCACACCTTTGGTATGTATGCAGATTGCAATGACAATCAAAACAACAATGTAGGTAATTATGAAGGTTTCTGACACTGAAAAACCTGGAAATATTTATTGATGATGAATGTAAAGAAAGAAAATATTGGAAGCTTTTAAACCATGGACTGTTGTGGATCATCTAACTAAGACCAATAAGAAGTCTGTCAATGACAACACTTCACAAACACTGCGGCACTATGTGGTTGACAACAGCACTGTTTCAGACAAAAAAAAACTGAAAAACTAAGTTTGGATGTAAAGTAAATGATCAAATTTGAAAACTACAGCATTTCTAAACAGACATTGAGAAATATGAGAAATCTTACATGGTATAAACTTAGATTCTTGAATTACAGGGCAAGCACAATTTGTGGATCAGACACCAAAAAAAAACAAAAAACAAAGAGCACACAAAATCTCTGGCTCCAAAATTCTTACTTTCCAAATCCCTTTTTGTTTGAGTGTTTTTCATTTCTTTTTTTCAGTCTTAGAGAGCCTGTTAGAGTTCATTTAGCAGGGGTGTGTCCCTTTTCTTGACACAGTGCTCTCCAAAGACAATTTAAAATGATATTAATAGACTTAATAGAATTTCCCCTACTCTGAATGGTCTCCACCTCATCTTATTTTCCACCCACTTCCACTGAGTTTAAAGATGAAGTTAAATTTGCACATCCTAGAACACAGAAGTACAACATCCAAATAGTCTGGAAGTCAGTGTTAAATTAACAGGACATAACAGAGCAAAACAAATTGCAAAAAGTTCACTTGTCTGACTTATAATCGTGGTGAAAGCTCTTTGGCCAATAGATAACCACAAAGTGTGTGTGAGGCTGATGTGATTTCTTTAATCATATTAATGAGCTGCCTGAAATTATCAAACCCTCAGGGAAAAGAATGCAAATTGCTCACAGACAGTTTTGCCCCACATGGGAAACAGGTCAGCTGCCTGCCAGCAGCTCAGCTGGTAGCACAGATTAAATAACAGGTGCTTTCATTTGCATGGTCTTCTTTACGCTTTCATCCCTACACTGACTACTCATTGTAGATTGTTTAAATGCCTGTTTTTGTGTGGATGTGCATGTTCTGGTTTCTCTGGCATCACTTTTTTATTCGTGATTTTCAACTGTATGAAGGCAAATGTGAATTTACAGAACATAAGACAATGAAAGCCTTTTCTCTTCCCAATGGAACAGTGTATAAAGGCGAAAAATAGAGGAATGAAAGTAGTGAGAGAGGGGAGAGAGAAAAGGAAACCAAGTGAGCAGGAGGAGCCAAAACTGAACACTCACTTGACAGAGGATGGGTTTTCTCTCCAACATGGTATGTTACAAATGACTAAGGGAATACATACCTTGCTTTGGGAATGTCATTTCACTTACATATTTTCTGGGATGTTTAGCATTTCTTCATTAAGGACTAGTGAGATATTCCACTCCACCTATCTCCTCCTCATCTTTCCTCCTGCAGTCCTGTTTGTCTCGTCATGAGAGGAGAGTGTAGGCATGCCAAAAGGAAATAACTCTGGCAGGTTCCAACCTTCTGAGAGCTGCCACAGTAAGCCTGCATCTTCCAACTGAAAAGAAGGCGTTAAAAGGACATATCCCACTATTCTTCATTAATTTCTCTTTGCTGTTTATTTTATTCAAACAGAATCTTTGGTTTGTGGTGAGCTCATTTCAAGTCAGCAAAACCAATCAAACTTCTTGTGACTCCAGACAGTATAAATAAAAGCCAGAATAGTAACTCCAATAGCCTGGTACTATGCTAAATAATAAACAGTGGGACACTAAAATT